AAAATCCCGTATACCCAAACTAAACCTTAGCCCGATAACTTAAGCTCTCTGATGTCGCTTCGACCGGGATTCAGCTTTCCTTCACGACCCATAAGGTATTCACGACCCGGGTCACGATCGTGAGATTGGTCGTGAATCACTCAATATGAATTCCTTTCGAGAGGAATTCCCATCTAACGGGTTGGGCCATGGACGTGGGGCTAGCCGTGGGATCCTCCAGAAACTCGTCCAAGAGCATTCAAAATGCCAAAAAACTCCCATTGTTTCGTATATTCGTGAAATCGTTCTTCCTGGCCTGAAAAACAGAAAAATCACAAACCAAGCGTAAAAGTGGCCAAAACAGATGATTATTGCCGAAATGATTAAGCAAAATGACTTAAAATGGATCCAAAACCATATATAGTTTATGGATCATCAAACACCCCATCGTTAAGCATTTGCTTTCGCTCAAGCAATGCATCAAAACACAAGTTTCGCCTTTTGAAACATCTAAGTGTCGGCTTGGTTGGATCAAAGGAGTAGAGTGGTAATGATGAACCACTAACGGTCATCCTCTAGGCAGAAGAGTATGGAAACCATGAACATGTAAGCGTAAGAGCTGAGGGCAACGATGGGCACTTGTTTTATCGAAACTCCCCCGCTAACTGGCTTGCAAGATCCCGAAATATTATGCGGAATAAAAAAATAAATTATTACGATTGGATAATCGAGTACAAAGTTACGTTCGTTTGAACTTTCAGCCTAGGTTAGAAATTCATAGGGGGAAAACAAACTTATAGGCAGCGGACCGTGAGCATGTGCGACGGTTTCCGCATTTGAAATACAAACCGCTCGAGGGGCCACGGTTTGGCCGGGATCGCTGAGGCGGCGCACGATCAATTTGATCGTAGCGACCCTATACAATCTGCAGGCTGCAGAAAAGGAAACCGCAGCACCCCCTGTGGTCCTCGGTTTAACCGGCATGGGGGATGCAATCCTTGTAAAATGATGGTATGGATGGAATTTTTTTTGGAAAGGGTGGTATTTTTTGATTTTTTGTTTGTTTTTTGGAACCGGATAGAATAACAACATGATTCATTAAGGGTAAAAAAGTAAATGAACACATTAAAAAAAATTGAATTAAAAATCAAATGCGATAGAAGATAAAAGCTCTCGTGCTCTGCCTCGTCTGACCTAGAACACCTTCGCCTCCGTCGATTCCCCAGCCACCGTCGGAGCTCTATCCTTCAGCGACAGCGGCGCAAAATTAATTTCCACGCCATCGACTAGCCTCCAACCTCACCAACGTTGAGGCGCTCTTCCATGCCAGATCTCGTCTCTCCACCTTTTTGTTCTCGATTCTTCTTCATCGACACAAATCAAGACGGATAGGGGGGTGGTCTTCGGAGCTCAAATCCAGGCATTAAGTATGGTCGATTGAGCACTGCCACTCTCTACCTCCTCCTACCTAGCACTCGTGATTCCGGTGATCGCTGTTTTTCCGGATTCCGTATCCTCCTTGCAGGCACATCCTCGTCTCTCTCTCTCTCACAACCCTTAGCTCTACTCTGTCTATCACAGAAACAAACCCAACTTTTGATCCCGATCCTTTTCCGCATCCTTCATTTGTTCCGGGGATCTTTCATGGCGATTGAAGGAGTTTGAGTTTCCACCTTTAGTCCTCTTTGTAAACTAAACTCGTTTGCGTCGTGGATTTGAAAAATGAAGGTTTTGGTATAATTTGGGTTTTGAAAAACCATGGATAAATGAGGGTTTTAGGTTCATTATGGATTTGATAAACACCATTGTTTGTTTGATGGATTTCATGATGGATTTTGTTTATTAAATTTGTATGTATGAAGTGTAATTTATCTTTATTGCCCTTAATGACATAAGAAGAGAAAGCAAATATGAAGGGTATGTTGGTAAAAAAAATGATGGACTTCAAAGTCCATAATCAATTCCCACATAAATAGGTGGAACTTTCAACTCCGTGGGGTCCACGGATTTGGTCCTTTAAAGTTCGTGAGACCCACGGATTTGTTTCCCCTAAATGCATGAAGCAAACAATGGATTTTGGACAAAATCCATGATGGATCCAAATCCTTCATCACATTCATCACCAAATCCATCAAGCAAACAAAGCATCTTGTTGTAATGACACTTTTGGTTTCACATATGACATTTCTTGAATAAAGATTAAACTTCATAGCTCAATAGCATTTTGCACCACATGTTTTTCTTTGGAAGAAAAGAAGAGATCATGCCCTTTGCTACAGCTAGGCTTTCAATTGGGGATTGAACATAGAGCCATAGGCACACAATGATTTCATAAGCACATCAGAAACCTCTCAATGTAGACCACAAACACGATAAAACAAATAAAAAAAAGCATATCAGAAACCTTCTAATGCAAACCACAAAACCTCTAAAACATAAAAAAAAAAACCCATAAAGCAAACCACAAAAATTTCTAAAGCTCACCAGAAACCTCGTAATCCGAACCATAAACAATGTAAAGAAAAACCACATAAAGAAACCAGAAACGTCATAATGAAGACCACAAATGTATTTAAACATACCAGAAACCTCACAAAACAAACCACAAAATTTTCGAAAGGTCACCAGAAACTTCTTAATGCAAACCAGAAACACGATAAAGTAATCCACAAAAGGCATAGAAAAAATATGAGAAACCAAACCATAAATCTCATAATGCTGACCATGATATCTGGTGATCGTTGACCGGTCAATGAAGACCGTTGACCAAACTCCGATAACCGCCAATGACCGAATCTCGACGCCGTTAAGCATATTCTAGCCCCGATGACTAGATTCCGACGCCGGTAGGCATATTATGATCACAGCGCCTGTTGGGGAATTCCGGCGACAGAAAGCATATTTCGGTGACCGACGGTCGGATTCCGGCGAACGAAATTTTGGACAGAAAATTAGAAAAAAATTATAAAATTTTATTTTATAAATTTGTTTTTTTATTATTATTTAAACATAATTTTCATAATGATAATTATACGTTTTCTTTGATTTTATACTAGGTCAACCTAACTAATAAAAAGTCATCACAACTAGGGGTGTGCAATGGTCCGGTCCGTACCGGACCACACCGGACCAAACCGTTGTTAAGACCGGACCGGACCAGACCGAGTAAAATGCGGTCCGGTCGTTGGTCCTAATGAATTTTATAATTACTGAAGAAATGATGGACCGAGCTCATATTTGGACCGGATCGAACCGGACCAAATGGACCAAATGCAAGAATGGTCCGGTCCTTGGTCCTAACATGTCTTTCACTAATGGACTGCGGTTCTCATGAGTTTGGTCCGGTCCGGACCGAACCGAACCGTTGCACACCCCTAATCACAACCCTAACTTCTTATTGGTTGGAGACTAATATTGTTACCTAACAACAAAATTGATGTTGTTATACTATCTAGTTCCTTTGTTTTTTATGGTATATTTGGGAGAAAAATTCGAAAGGAACAATAGAGTTTTCAGTGATGCTAGGGAGACAGTTGTCGTCACCTGCGTCAGAATTGGAAGGAGCATGGCGGATTGGTTATGCGCTCATAAGAAGGTTGACAGATTGGTTGCTGATGATTGGCTGCGAATCCTGAAGAACAGAATCCTCCCAAGAGCTGGCGATGCATAACCCTCGGTTGTTCGGGTGTGCTGGGAACTGTCCTGGTTTGTGGGAATCTGGGATTTTTTAGTGCTGTCGTGGTCTTTGTCTTGGATGCTAATGCTTGGTTTGTGTTGCTTCCCCCCCCCCCCCCCCCGCGTCGTTCGTTTTGGGCTGGTGGGTGTTGCTGGTTTTTTCTTGGGGAGTTCTCTGGGTGCTGGGGGGTTTTTTCCGTTTTTGGGGGGCTGGTTCTGGTGGCCTGCCTGTATGGTTGGTGGCTGCCATGTCTTGTATCTGTTTGCGTTGTACTCCTCTTTCTTTCTGTCTTCTGTTTTAATTAATTGATTTCACCTTTATCAAAAAAAAAAAAAAAAAAAAAATTCGAATTTGTGGGACACCAAATTAGTATAAAAAAGATTAAAAATTTAAACAAGTAGCTGTCGGGGAACGGGACCGGGACCGGGACTGGAGAATGAGGTTTCGTTCAAGAAACGGAGTCGAAGTCGGAGGCAGAGGGATACTTCCCCGAAGGTTCTGGAACGAAGACCGGCGTCAGGTTTCTTCCAATCACTTCTTTAACCTCACTTTTCTTTTATTTATTTTCCCTTCGCTCCTAAACCAGATTAAAATTTTCTGCCCGCGAGAAATTCCGATTCTTTCCCTCTGTCTCCTTTCTGGGCTCCGATCTAACCATTGGGATCGGCATTGGGTTATCCCGCCGGCCTGCGATAAACGAAGGAGGTAGAGAGTGTTGAGATTTACCGGATCGGGTATGCTCTTAAGTAGTGCTTTACAAAACACAGTGACTAAATTACAACTCTTACAAACTTTATACACTTGTTTGTAATTTGACAACTCAAGCTCACACTCACTATTATGAGATACACCACACACAACTATCTCTCACCACTACTACCTCACACCTCTCAATTCTCACGTCTCTCTTTCTATTCTTTCTTCTCTGCTCACACTTGCTTCTGTCTACCCACTCAACTCTTCTTTTGTTTGCTTGCTTTCCTACACAAACCAAACTCCCCTTTTTATAGCAAACATAACCGACTTAAACCAAAAAATATCAAGAACAGTTAGGTGAGATTTTTTTTTCTTCTTCTGGTTCCTTCCCCATCTTTTTCTTCTGCAGATTTCTAGTCTCTTCTTTGCCATTTTTTTTTTTCTTTTTCAGAAGACTCCAGGATATTTTGTGAGAATGGAAAAAATCTTAAACAGGAAAGAGAGGAGAAAAGAATTCCATTCTAGAAGATTCTCACCACCACAAAGCTTAGATCGTGGGCCAGAAGATTCTCCACAGAGAGACAAGGATGGGTGCTACAATTGTGGCAAGAGAGGGCATTATGCCAGAGAGTGTTGGCATAAGAAAAGGATGGAAGGAAATGCTGTCACATCAAGAGAAGAACACCAAAGTGAAGAAGAGTGGGATCTGGAGGCAATGGTCGCTTCTGCAGAGGTTGTTGAAGAAGAAAGCAGAAGTGAAGAACAAGCATTGACTGTGCAAAGTCAAGGCATGAATTATAATAAAAATTGGATCTTCGACTCAGGGTGTTCGGATCACATGACGGGAGACAAAGAGAATCTTAATGTGACAACAAAGTATAAAGGAAGGAGAGTCGTGGTGACAGCCAACAATACGAAGTTGCCGATAGCACACGTGGGGAACGCAATTATAGCTTCGAGCTCCAATGCTAAAGATGTCCAGTTGGAAGAAGTTTATCATGTACCAGGAATCAAGAAGAATCTGATTTCAATAACGCAACTCACGGCACCAGGAAACTACGTTGTATTCGGCCCAAAAGATGTTAAAGTCTGCAAGGAAGTGGAGATCATTGGCACGCCAATCATGGAAGGAATCAAGAAAAATTCTATGTACGTGATGTCCGCGGAATCTGCCTGCATTGATAGTACGAGGAAGAATGAGACAGCTGACTTATGGCACGCACGCCTAGGTCATGTGGGATATCACAAGCTGAAGGTCATGATGAAGAAATCTATGTTGAAAGGTCTTCCCCAGTTGGAGGTACGAGACAACATAGTCTGTGCAGGATGCCAATATGGAAAGGCGCACCAACTTCCTTATGAGGAGTCACACTATAAAGCAAAGGAGCCTTTGGAGCTGGTTCACTCAGACGTATTTGGACGTGTTAAGCAAAAATCTATCAGTGGATATCGTTATATGGTCACATTTATTGACGACTACTCCAGATACGTGTGGGTGGCATTCATGAAGGAGAAGTCAGAAACCTTCATGAAGTTCAAGGAATTCAAAGAGAAGGTTGAAGCTGAGTTGGGAAGAAGGATCAAAGTACCGCGCACAGATAACGGGGGAGAGTATACATCTCATGAGTTCCGAAGTTACCTGAGAAGGCACAAGATCAGGAGACAGTTGACTTGTCCGAGGACAGCACAACAGAATGGTGTGGCTGAAAGAAAAAATAGACATCTTGCTGAGATAGTCAGAAGTATGCTACATGCCAAGAACGTGCCAGGAAGATTTTGGGCTGAGTGTATGAAGACTGCAGTGTACGTCACCAACAAACTTCCTCAAGCAAGGTTGGGATTTACATCGCCATTTGAGAAGTTATGGAAGATGAAGCCAACGATTAGCCATCTCCGAGTGTTTGGATGTGTTTGCTATGTCTTAGTCTCTGACCAAGAAAGAAGCACGTTCGACAAGAAAGCAAGAAAATGCATCTTTCTTGGGTACGACAACGAGAGGAAAGGTTGGAGATGCTATGACCCGACAACAAATAAGGTGATGGTTTCAAGAAATGTTGTGTTTGATGAAACATCATCCTGGTGGCCGCCTCAAGAAGTGTTACTCCCTAATGACCAGGAGAGTGATGATCAGTTTCAATAGATTGAGGGGGAGCAATCAAAGTTGAAGGATGATCCAAAAGAGAAGGTGAATGAGCCTAATAATGAAGGAACAAGCAAGAAGCCAAGTCTGTGGAAAACAGGAGTGTACCAAGAGATTCGTGAAGAAGATCGACCGAGTCAGTTTGAAGAATTTAAAGAAGACTCAGAAAAAGATCTACCAGAACTCAGAAGGTCGAAAAGGATCAGAAGGCTAAATCCTAAATATGCAAATATAGCATATATTGAAGAAACAGTTTCACCAAAGAAGTATGCTGAATCAAAAAGGAGATTCAGAGCAACATATGCCCAGAGACGAAATGATAAATTTATGAAGTATCAAAGGAATCTCAAGAACAAGTATGTCAAGGATCGAGTCTATAAGAGGCAAGGGACGAGAAGAGCATTATCCCGAGATATAGCGAATGATGTCGCTAACATGGAGCAATATGGACATAAGAAGAGTACAAGTACGGTAAGAAGACCAAATATATTTTAAGGGGGAGAATTGAAGGATTAAAATATATTTGTTGGTTAGGATATTTTGTGAGAATGGAAAAAATCTTAAACAGGAAAGAGAGGAAAAAGAAGGTGGAGAGATTGAGAAATCTCTAGAGAAGTGTGCAGATTTTTTAGAGGAATGGCGGTGGAAGAGTAGTATAAATAGGGGGAGAGGTTGTGTGTGGAGTGTGTGGAGTGAAGTGAGGAAAATAAAGAAAGAAAGAAAGAAAAGGAAGAGGGAGTGACGTGAGTGGAAGAGAGGAGTGTGGTGAGTTGTGAGAGAGAAATTATAGTGTGGTGAGGTGTAGAGTTGTAAGTGTGAGCTCTCTTGTAAAATAACAAAATAGTGAGTGAAGTTTGTGAAAGTGTCAATTTAGCCCATCAAATTCAGCTAGTGGATCGGGTATGCTCTGAAATAGTGTTTATAAAGTGTGATGACTAAAATAACAACTTTACAGACTCAAGCACTAACTTGAACTTTTACAACTCAAGCTCACACTACTATTATACACTTCACCACACTATAATATCTCTCACCACTACTACCTCACACCTCTCAATTCTCACGTCTCTCTTTCTATTCTTTCTTCTCTGCTCACACTTGCTTCTGTCTACCCACTCAACTCTTCTTTTGTTTGCTTGCTTTCCTACACAAACCAAACTCCCCTTTTTATAGCAAACATAACCGACTTAAACCAAAAAATATCAAGAACAGTTAGGTGAGATTTTTTTTTCTTCTTCTGGTTCCTTCCCCATCTTTTTCTTCTGCAGATTTCTAGTCTCTTCTTTGCCATTTTTTTTTTCTTTTTCAGAAGACTCCAGAGAAATGGAGTTGGTTCTTCAATACTCCCCCTCAACGACAATTCTCTGATGTCTTTTGATCATTTCCAGTCTTCGCTGCATTTCTTGTAGTCTTGGTCCTCCAAGCCCTTTTGTAAACATATCTGCTACTTGGTCCTCAGTGTTGACATACTTCATCTCAATACTTCCATTTAGCACCTTCTCTCTGATGAAATGATATTGTACCTCCACATGCTTTGTTCTTGCATGGAACACAGGATTGTCCACCAATCGTAAAGCTGATTGATTATCGCAATGTAGCGGTACTGAGTAGTTGACTTCTTGTCCCAAGTCTTTCAAGAGTTGTATTAACCATACACACTCCTGAGCTGCTACTGCTGATGCTTTATATTCTGCCTCAGTAGTTGATAATGCTACTGTAGGTTGTCTCTTACTACACCACGAGACTGGTCCTGATCCAAGGCTGAACACATACCCAGTTGTCGACCTTCTCGTGTCAATATCTCCAGCATAGTCAGCATCACAATATCCCATTAACTTTGTGTCTCCTCCTTTTCTGTAGAAGATACCATGATCAAGTGTTCCTTTGACATAGCGTAGAATCCGCTTTGTCGCTTCCAAGTGAGGCTTCTTCGGATTTTGCATGAATCTGCTAACCAAGCCCACTGCATATGATATATCGGGTCTAGTCAGTGTAAGGTAGATTAAGCTCCCCACTAGTTGTCGATATATCGTTGTATCCTCCAAATCTTTTCCTTCATTTGAGCGTAGCTTTGTGTTGACTTCTACAGGTGTAGTCGTTGGTTTGCATTCTGACATTCCGTACTTCTCCAAAAGATCTTTGGCATATTTATGCTGGCAAAGGAATAATCCCTCCTTGTTCCTTTCAACTTCCAAACCCAAGAAGTGTCGTAATTCTCCAAGCTCCTTCATCTTGAAGCGCACTGAGAGATTTGCCTTTACTTGAAACACTTCTGGCTCGTCATTCCCAGTAATGATGAGATCATCCACGTAGACGAGCACTATTGCTACTTTATTTTCTTGTTGCTTTACGAATAAGCTAGAATCTGATGGAGCTAGCTTATAGCCACTTTGGATTAGAAACTCAGCAATTTTACCATACCATGCTCTCGGTGCTTGTTTGAGACCGTAAAGCGCTTTCTTCAACTTGCAGACATACTCTGGATGCAATTGGCTTTTGAATCCCTGAGGCTGCTCCATATAAATCTGACGATCTAGCTCTCCGTGTAGAAATGCATTCTTGACATCCATTTGCCAAAGCTTCCATCCTCTGCTTGCTGCTAGTGCAAGTACAACACGTACTGTTGTGATCTTTGCTACTGGACTGAATGTTTCATCATAGTCAATCCCATATTGTTGTGAGAACCCTCGAGCTACTAAACGAGCTTTGTACCTTTCAACCGATCCATCAGGACGAGTCTTGATTCTGTAGACCCATTTACAAGAGATGGGTTTCACACCTTCGGGCTTTGGCACCAAGTCCCATGTTTCGTTTTGATCTAGGGCATCCATTTCTTCCTTCATAGCTTTTTGCCACTCTTCCTTAGATGCTGCCTCCTCGAATGAACTTGGTTCTCTGAGCATTATTTCTTCTACAAAGGCTGCATTGACATACTTGGGATTTGCTCTTCGTTGTCGTTTTGACCTTCTCAACTCTGGCTGGTCTTGTTCTATTGTATCTTCAAACTGGCTTGGACGTTCATCTTCCTTTACTTCTTGATATACGCCAGATCTCCATGGTGACATTCCATTTAATTCTTGTTGCACTTGAGCTTCCTTGTCTTCTTCACCAGCCTTCTGTTCTGTCTCATTTTCTTCCTTTTCCACTTTGGACTTCTTCTCCAGCCTCTCTTGTACTTGTTCTTTGATTTCATTTGAGTCAGGCATTATCCTTGCCTGAGGTGACCAATAAGATGTCATCTCGTCAAATACCACATTCCTTGACACGTGGCATTTTCCTGTCTCTGGATCACAACACCTCCATCCTTTTCTTTGTTCATCATAACCCACAAATATGCATCTTATAGCTTTCTTATCAAGCTTAGTTCTTAGCTGGTCAGGCACAAAAACATAGCTAACACATCCAAATACTCGAAAGTGACTGACCGTGGGTTTGATCTTCAAGAGCTTCTCAAACGGTGAGATGAATCCCAGCTTTGGTTGCGGCAGTCGATTGGTTATATGCACGACTGTCTTCATACACTCTGCCCAATATTTTGCCGGTACATTCTTAGCATGTAGCATGCTACGACACGTCTCCGCAAGGTGTCGATTCTTTCGTTCTGCAACTCCGTTTTGTTGTGGAGTACGAGGACAGGTCAACTGACGTCGAATCCTCTGTTGTCTCACATATCGCCAAAATTCTCTCGAAGTGTACTCGCCTCCATTATCTGTACGGAGAATCCGAACTCTTTTTCCAACTTCAGTTTCAGCTTTTTCTTTGAATTGCTGAAACTTCTCCAAGGCCTCAGACTTTTCCTTCATAAAGTCAAGCCAAACATATCTTGAATAGTCATCAATGAACGTTATTATGTACCGGAACCCACTTATCGATGGTTGCTTAATTGGGCCGAACACGTCAGAGTGTATCAACTCTAGTGGCTCCTTGGCTCTGAATTTTGAATCATCGTATGGTAACTGGTGTGCTTTCCCGTACTGACATCCCGGGCAAACTGTATCTTCTCGAACTTCCAGTTGAGGTAGGCCTCTCAAAGTCGACTTCTTCATCATTAATTTCAATTTGTGATAGCTCACGTGCCCTAGGCGTGCATGCCACAAGTCTGCTGTCTCATTCTTCCTTGCACGATCTACGAAGGCTGACTCTGCTGACATCACATAAACAGCTTCCCGCTTCACTCCTTCCATGAATGGCGTGCCTATGATTTTTAACTCCTTGTAGACCCGTACGTCATTGGGGCCAAACAAGACATAATTTCCTGGAGCTGTTAGCTGTGTAATAGAAATTAGATTCTTCTTTATTCCAGGCACGTGATAGACTTCTTCTAGCTGAACTTCTTCTGGATTGAAGTCAGAAGCTATCTTTGTCTTGCCCACGTGTGCAATTGGCAACTTCGCATTGTTTGCGGTTACCACAACTCGTCGACCCTTATACTTGGAACTCTCCATTAGCTTCTCCTTATCTCCCGTCATATGGTTGGAACATCCTGAATCAAAGATCCAGTTCTTCTTGTAGTCGATATTGCGGGAATGAGATACTGCCAGAGTGATCTCTTCTTTTTCTTGTATGTTGGCCTCCTCCTCATCATCATGGAGTTCTGCACTGAAGCAATGTTCTCCACAAAGCTCTATTGTGGCAAATGAGCTTTCCATATCCCAGTCATCTTCATTTGTGGGTTCTCCATTCTGGTTGCTTGATGTTGCAATATTTCCTTCTAGTCTCTTCTTGTGCCAACAATCTCGTGCAAAGTGACCTCTCTTGCCACAGTTGTAACACTCTTTGCCACGCCTTTGTTGAGACTTCTCATTGTCTTCTCCTTTCTTTTGGTGAGCTCCCCCTCGCTGCCTACTCCATGCTGGTCTTCTTTCGTGCTCTTGCCTTGCATTGCCTCCTGCTCTCGGAGGCTTCTGGCGCCCAGAACCATTCTTCCTGCTAAAGAGTGCTTCCTCATCTTTGATGTTATCTTTAGACAACTGCTTGTCTAAAGCTTCTTGATTTGCTAGAGTATTCTCTAGCTCCTCCAATGTTGGCTCTTTAGCCCATCCGCGGATTGCCGTAACGAGTCCATTAAACTCGGGACGTAATCCGTGGACTATAATTCTCTTCATCCTGGTCTCGCTGATGGGATTTTCAGGATCCAACTTCGAGATATCTTCACACAAGGATTTTACCTTAGTGAAGTACTCGCTCACTGTCATATCTCGTTGTGAGATTGACAATAGCTCATTCTCGAGCATCTGTAGCTTTGCATCATTTGTGCGAGCAAAGACTTCATCTAATGACTTCCAGGCCTCCGCTGGTGTCTTAGCCTTCTTGATACGTGGCAGCAGAGTATCATCTACGGCGACAGCTAGTGCGTAGAATGCTCTTCCAGCTTTGACATTCCACTTCTGGAGAGTCTCGGCTTCGGTAGGTGGTGTGGTTTGACTCCCGTCCACGATCTCCCACAGATCTTGTCCACGCAGGTAGAACTCCATACGAGTGCTCCATGTATTGTAGTTGTTGTTGTTAAGCCTCTCGATGCTACTCACTGATGTAGCCATGTCCGCCATTAGTGACTTGTTGATTTTTTTATTTATCAACAAAATAAGCTTGGTCCCAGACCAATAAGCTCCGTAGTCCCGGACTACACACTAGTGGCACCTCCACGTAACTTGGTTTCTTAACCAAGCGACTCGTATGTCGATCCCAGATCGGCTACTCTGCCTAAACGTATCACGAGTTCAAGGAAAACTTTTCTGATGTGGAAGATCAGACCTTGCTGCAACCACAGAGCATACTCAGCATAACCTTGGCTCTGATACCACTTGTTGAGATTTACCCGATCCGGTAAATCTCAACAGAGAGTATGGAGAACGGAGATTTGAGGAAGGAGGAAACGCAGCAAGGATCTTCTTATACGTATTGGGTGAGGGAAGCCACGGCGGATGCCGCTCCCGTCCCTGTTCCAAAGAAGCTCTCCGTTGAAGACGTTGTCTCTTCTCAACCTAAGTCTACCGCCCTCGGGTCTGTCTGGAATCGGGTAACCCTCTTCTCTTTTCTAATCATATTCTATTACGTCGAATTTGAGCTTAGAATGGTTACGGGAATCTGCATTGGATTGTGATAGGGATGGAGGAATCCGTGGATTTGATTTGAATGAAACTGCTCTGGTTTTGTCGTTGCCTTGATGGGCAGATTCCAATTGCCTGAACATTTAGAAACTTCTGTGAGAACTTCCAGTGAAGGGTTTTTGGTGTAACTTTTGAGTCTTGAGGATATGACATTAGCAGTAAAAGGCTATTGCTTTGGGGGAGTTTCCTGCATGGTTTCTCTGCTGCTACTAAGAGTTTGGGTTTGAACTTGATGCAGGCAGGAACTTGGGAGGAGAAGAACCTTAATAAATGGGCGAGTGAGAGGATAAAGGTCTGTACTTTACATATGGGCATGCCTGTTTCTGGTCTCTTTACCTCTCAATTGAATTCACCCTATCTGTTTCCCTAAGAAATTGTTGATTACTTTTTATGAGACGTATATCTGACGTCGTACTCTCTGCAGGAGCTACTTACATCAGTGGGAACCTTGGACTTCTCTGGTGGCAAAGCAGAAATCAAAGCAGTTTCAAAATGTTCCGGCGATGTAAGTTTCCCCATCTGTTGGTTACTGATGAAGTATGTTTTCTATTCGAATAAAAATGTTCTTATTTCTATTGTTAATTCCTCTGCGTGAACAGGCTTTCTTGGTCACTGTGAGAAACAAGAAGCGTGTCGGCTATACTTATGAATTAACTTTAGACATCAAAGGTAGCTGAAAGGCTGTCTGAAATGGTCTACTTCCCAGTTAATTGCATTGGATTATTTCTCTTGTCCTAACTTAATTGGTTGATAATCGGGGTCGGTTAGCATGCTAACCCCCCTTAGGGGTTGGAAAAATGACACCCCCTAGTATATTAAATACAACTATAGAATTTAATACACACATTAAATACACATTAGGAATTAAATGTACCATATTAATTAGGAATTCTCTCACTATTAAATACACATTAGGAATTAAATACACACATTAAATACACATTAGGAATTCTCTCACTATATTTTATTTTTCCTTTTTCAGCAGTCTCCGACCACCAGACTTCCTCCGACCGCCACACTTCTCCGGTGAAAATCCCATCGGCAGACTCCCTCCGACCACCTCCAAAAAATATACCACTGCACTGATACGTTGTACCACTATACTGGTAGATATACCACTGCACTGATACGTTGTATCACTGTACTGGTAGATATACCACTGCACTGGTAGCGATATCAGTGCACTGGTAGCAATGTCATATCTGAGTATCAGTGCAGTGGTACAAATACCAATAAAGTGGTAATTAATGTGGTGTATTTAATGCTTACTTTGTATTTAATAACAGAACATTTATTATGTTTACTCTCATTAATACTTGTCAATAATTAATTAAAAATTGACCAATTAAAAGGGGGTGTCAAAAAACCAACCCCTTAAAGGGTTAGCATGCTAACCCGTCCCTTCTCCTATGGCGAGCTGGATGATTTGCAGGTGAGGAATTTTTTTTCTATAGGCTTCTGAAGAGATGCACCGATCTAATGCTATCGTATTGTGTAGTAATCTTCCGTGAACTTAATTACGGCTAAGGGAGCTGCAAAATGCCTAGTTTTATAGGAACCTCATTTCAATATGCTGGAGGTTAGATGCTGTCCAAATAAGTTATGCAGAACAATGTATACTGGCAAGAGATTTAGTTACAGTCAACAGTCACCTGTTGATGTAATTCAAACTAGGAAGCCACTTTGTCGTTCATATGTAGATTTGAGATGCATCCTTGAAAATCCCAACCAGGCAACAGGTCAAGGCTTTAAATTTTCATATGTTAGAATCCATAACTGGTATAATACTCGGGTAGATTTGGGATGGGCTTGGCTGTTACATGAACAATGTCAGTCCCGGGAGCAGGCTGCCCGGTTTATCAACTTGGAAACCCAAATTTTTGTGTTTCAGAATCCTACATTGAAGCGGTGGGAGGAGGCAATTGAACTTTTGACATGAATGCTGAAATTTCCATACATTCTGACGCATCCTACTTAATTCTACTGCAGTTTGAGGTTCGGCTGAGCGACACAAAGGACATCTCTCAGCAGAATAAGCAGCGAATCAACCGAGACGTGAAGTCATTTTTAGAGCCTGTGCGAGAGAAACTGCTCCAATTTGAGCAGGAACTGAAGGATAGGTAGCGGGAGCAAAGCGACCAAAGGTGTCGTATTTGTGATTGAAGTGTATGATAGTATGCTGAGACCAATCTTCATTTTCTCCCCTGTTTAAACTGAGACCCAATGCACTTGTTTATAGCAGTAGCCGTGTTAAGGCAGTTTGAACATTCACTTTGGCCACGGGACTCTCTGATTAAGTGTTTGATGAATTGGGATGTGTGTGTTCTCAGGTTTCACAGTTAGTGGACAACTAGAACTTTGTCTGCCTTGTTTTGTTGTATGCTCTCGAATTGCTTTCTCTTTTCTACCACGTACTACTCGGATCCCAGAAACTAAAAACAAAAACTACACTACTGTAGTTTTTTCAGGATTTGAACTTGCATCTTCGAGAAGTGGACTAGTATCGCGTCCGTCGTGGACATCCAGGTCCCAAAAAGGTTAGCATTGCCTTGTTTCTTCTGTACTCTTCTTCGTCATGTGACGCTAAACAACCTGATCTGGTACAGGGAATAGCTGATGTCTTTATCCACATGATCCCTTTTTGTGCTTCAGTGACTTGGACTCTTGAGCCTCTTCAAGTTCAGGTAAGTAGACTGAGAGTACAAAAATGGCTTCTTGTTCTCATCGAACACCTTTGGATTGACAGTACAGCGTCATTTTTGTCAGGGCATTCCACCATTTGCCGATCCCTTCCCCAGTCATACCAACCAACAAATTTTCCAGCTTTGGCGCTTTGCTGTGATACCTTGTTCCTCTTTTTTTTCCCCCCTCGAACTTCACAAAGATGTCTAATAATACACCACAATTTTATTTTGCCCTGTTATCTAATAGCCTCGACGATGGATGAAGAACCCAAGATCCCAAAAGACAGCTTTTTTTTAATATATGGAGAGAATCCTGCCGCCCGCCATTGATTCCTAAGGTACCAACCTGACCCTACAGCTTGACTTAAAGACACCATCATTGAAGCAGGCGTCTTGTTCGTGTTGGCCTTTGTAGCACGTTGTGCTGCTTACTGAGTTTCGAATGCGGTTAAAAACAGAGTATTCCTCTGCCTTTTTAGCGGGCAGATAACAATAACAGCACGGCGACAATTTCACGAAATGTTAACAAGTTGGCCTAGAATTGAAATTACCACCTGCATTTCTTCCTGGTCGGTTCCATTTTCTCGTTTTTAACTCGTTCTATCTCAATTTTGCATCTCGTGTAACTCGCGACCATCCAAATTCGCATGAAATCACGCACCATTCACCCTGCCTTTACATGTTCAGTCTGACTTCTGCACAGACAAATGTCGTAATGGACCCATCTGCCCCGATTCTGTCCACCGCTCTAATCTAAACCACGCTTAGCATGAGACATATATGGATATTGAAGTACCCACCCCCACTCCGCATGTATCTTTCCTCGAATGTGTTTTTTGAACTTCAGGAGAAGGAAGGGGGGAAAAAAATGCATTGGAAACATAAGCAGCTGGGGACAAAAGCTTGGCGACAAGAGAGAAAACTCAGCATGGAATATACAAGGAAGAAGCGAAGGAGTAAGCCCTCGCTCGCCTGTTTTAATCTGATCCATATTAACTTGATGGTGACAAACCGCGTGAACAAGTCTCTCTTCCCTTCTTTGCCAGAAAGGAACTAGACAGCCCCTCCCTCCCTCCATTTCCAAACCACTTCCAAGGTCTGATCTTTGGTTCTGCTAACTACTCAAGTCCTGACAGTAGTTTGAGTTCCAGGAAGCTGTTTGCTGCTAGTGAGGTTTTTTTGAGAATTCATCATCAGAAACAACTGATGCCAAGTTGCTGCACCAATGGCTCTGGTCGTCGTGCCTTCCAGCCGAATTCGCAAAACGAACCGCCAGGTTTCCCCTTCCAGGCATCATCACCAGTTCCGGGATCCCAGAGACATCATTTGAACCATCTGTTACATGGAGCAGTCCCAAACAGCACTATGTTCTGCACAAGCTTGCACCCGACTTCTTCTTCAACCGACCCGGGGATGGATCCACGGCTTGGAATCGTTCCACCACCTCCTCCTCATCATCATGATCATCAACATCATCACCATACCAGCGCTGGGAAATCTCCATTCATTCTTGAAGACCAAGGCATGGAGAGCTTGGAAGACTTGACAGACTTCCTTGACATTGCAGAGGAAGACCCTAGTCACAACAGCAGCTTTCGTCAATTGCATCCGGGTAAAGATACTATCATGACACTGAAGGAGACGATGGGATATCTGTCCAAAGAGCTTGATATCCCTCTCGACGATGATGATCATGAAAGTCGAGCTGTTGAGGTGGGTCTATCAAGTTTTAGACAAATAAATGATGATATTGATCACAAAAATGAGGGCATAACTTGCATTTCTACTAGTCGGCTTTCATCATTCAAACTTCAAATAATTGCAGAGAACAATCATCTTTAGAGGAATCAAATCATATGAATAACGATTATGAGAAAAGTGGATTAGCATTCTGATCAATTATGAACTTCTCCTTGACAAGAGCAGGTTATTAATGAAGCGCCGCCTCGAGATCCAAGGGGACCTGTTGCTGAATTATACTGTAAAAAGTACAGGAATGCAGATGGTTACTTGCCTGCAACTAGCTATCAATATCCAGAGGCTGCAAGTTGTCATAAGCAGCGAATCAGGTGGACGACGGAGCTCCATGACCTTTTCCTTGGAGCAGTGAGAACCCTCGGAGGCCCTGAAGGTGAGCACCAACATATATAACATTAGATTTATGTAAAGGAAAGAACATTTCACTCGTTCATAAAACACACATATATTTCACTGAACTTCTGCAGTAACAATTTTCACCAAACTGTGGATGTAGTTGCGACTCCAAAACGCATACTGTCACTTATGGATGTCAAGGGCTTAAACATCTACCATGTCAAGAGTCATTTACAGGTAACTTAACAAACAAGCTACAGCTCGTCGTCAGTTTTGCCGTCATGGCTTCCCGATCTCTAACTAGTTCTATGGAAATATAATTTGCAGAAGTATCGGCTCCAGACACAAGGTAAATTATTCATACCCTTTTGCTACATAAACTGCTGCAAAATCAAATTGTTCATGTGTGCATTTGTTGTGATCTCTAGCAATAACAACGCGACTTACTTTCATGTACCGATGTGCTTCGATTTGTCACTGTCCAGAGAAAAATATGGCTAGCCCTTTGGAAAAGAAAACAGCTTCCTCCAACACTGATGGAAATATGAATAGGTAATGTGTACCAGAAACCATGTTCTCTTCTTTTTCCAATGACTAGTGAGAAGAATGCTGATGAAATGTCTCATTTGCAGAGACATGGTTGTCACAACAGCTCTACAGATGCAGATCGATGTACAGAAACTGCTGTACGACCAACTGAAGTCACAAAAGCTCCTTCAGTTGCGCATAGAGGAGAACGCGGAATTCCTGAAGAAGTTACTGGAAGAACAGCAGAAGTCGAATCCCAGCATCGATTCTCCTTCCTCGTCACAAGTCGAACCGGCAAGGTCTGCCCCATTTGCTGATGAATCCTCCCCTGCAAAGGCAACATATGTAAGAAGTCAGAGTTCATCTAAAATATCAAGTGATCAGGCAACTGATCACACTGCCAGAACTGAACATTCTGAATGTCATAAGCGGCCTCGAGGAGAGAGGGAATGATTATATCAGGGTGGGTAGACCGTAGATGAGTGATTTTGGTTACTAAATACCACCTTTTTTTGTGTAAATTGTGTGCAGAAATTGCAGTCTTACCGTTCAATTTTTCGTTGAATTGTTTGATTTTTGAAATAACTGCTACTTGTGAAAGACTTGCAGAAGTTGGGTAATGTATGGATTACGATTCGATTTGATGTAAGTCTGATCATGTTGGGGAGTTGGTGAATCAATATCATGAGGGGAACTGATCACATTCAGCTGTGTGTTTTTGTAAAGTATGAGAGGAGCTTCTTAGGTTCTAGCTGTTACATACTAACAAAATGTAGAGAGAAGAGAAAATTGAGTTTAGCAGAAATGTAATGAAATTTATCAGTTCATCCATGAACCAATGGTGTCAAAATGGGAGGAAGCTACCATGATGGAAAGAAGAAGGAAAGGGGAAGAAGAGATTGACAATGCCACCCTGTGCTAACCTGGAGCAGGTGATCTGTAGGGAAGGATGAGAGGAAGGGAAGGATGAGAGGAAGGAAAGAATGTGAAGAAAATGATAATTATTAAACAACTGAACCCAAAAAAAAAAAAGGTTTGTGATTTATGTATTTTTCTTAAAATCAAATCAAAATGCTTTCTTTATTCTTTCATTTTTCTTTCGGAAACATATGATGGAATAATAAGTTTGCTAGGTGTGCTAAGCATAAAGTTCTTTTTTTTTTTTCATTTTTCCTTTCTCTATTCTCATCGAGAAAAAAGGACCGTACACACTCATTGGGTCGAAATGCTGCAAGATGATTGGGTTTGAGGTCACACGGTGTCGTTTTTCCTTTGATTTGCGAAACACGTCCATTTTTTGGGTTTCCTCTTCGCCTAACCCTATATTTGAAACTCTAAATTAAACATTTGAATATTGATATTATATAAGTGTGTGAATTCTCACTAAATATTGGATCCAAATACGACATAATTTTTTTAGTGTAATTTTATATGTTAACATGTTAGATAATATTTGATATAATTTATATATATTAACAATATAATGACCGTGTCATATATTCTGGCTAAACCAGACTAAAATGGTCGGGCCTAACCCTCAACAACAATTATATTCTGATCTGCCTCCCACTACTTGTTTCTTCTCCATTTATCGCCGACGCCGAGAGAGCAAATTGTCCTGTTGTTGTCATTTTCCTTTCCCGAGTCTTTGAATTCTCCTCCAAATCACAATTTTTTAAAAAGTATTTTAAAATAAAATAATCCTGCCGAAAAACATATATACACAAAATGTGGCCTATAATAGTAGCTTGAATGCTTGATTAGTTGATTGCCAACCCACCACCATGTTCATCATGCCCCAGTTTCTTAAAACTGATTAGTCCACATACAAATTTCTAATGCTATCAGATCGAACCGGAGCATGACCCGGTAATGCGAATGGTTCGCACTTTAGTAATCCAACCGACATTAGACCATTTAAAAACCGTTAGAAAATCGGTACCTAATAAACGTTATCAATATAAATAGTGGACATTTCTTAATCAGAGCTCGTATCTTTCCTTCGAAATTGTGAAATGGAAATAAAGGTTCAGTTTGAGAGCCCAGTGTTTTTGGTTTATTCCAATTTTCAATTTTCTGCAATTGTTTTAATTAAACTTAACGGCCGAATGGCAAAAACCGGACGAGCGGCTCGAGCGGTTAACCGCCTCGACCGCTCGCCAACCGCTACTTAAAACCGGAGCAATTTTTAGACTGTTTCAAGCCGATTTTATGACCGCGTTTTCTGCTTATTTATATATATATATTTCCTTCCTTACCCTTGATTCCCAATTAACACAAGTCATTAATTTGAAACATCAAGGTGGGAAATTATGAGATGGACTTAGATTACATATTGTCACAAACATTAAGGGGTCGTTTGGAAATTGCGATTGTTAAATAGATGTATTGTTGAGAATGCATGTATAATATTATACATGTATTGTCGAATTTGATGCATGGTAGAATACAACGTTTGGTATGAGTGATTGTGTATGTCGCATTAGCTAAAAGCTGAGACAAAACAATCTCAACTCAACTATCTCAACAATCACAACTAAAAGTTGAGATATAACAATCACTCAAATTGAGTGATAGTTTCTGTCACATCACAGAAACAATCCATGTATTGTTTCTGCTAAAAAAATAAAAAAAAAACGATGCATTATAAACAATACATGCATAATAACAATCTCAACAAAACTATCTCAACTTCCAAACGACCCCTAAGTCTATTGGATAAAAGGTGGCAACGGAGCAAATAAGATCAGTTCATTGAAGTTTCCTTGAACATATTTTTTTCATATTCGTTTGGACTCGACTTTGTATTTTAACTAGATCGAGAAAGAAAATATTAAGATTTAAATAAGTGTCATACCGTAATGTTTTTTTAAATCTCGTTTTTGTATAATAAAAAACACCCAACAATTGAGATGGATTAGCCACCGGGAAATGGTGAAGGGGATAGAGGAAGGGTAGGTTTGTTGTGGAGTCGGCTGGGTTAATAAATGGATAATAGATCATAGCACTATAGCAGAAGATAGATAGAAATATTGAAGAGAAAGGTCAGAAGGGTTGGTGAGGACTGAGGAGCCTTATTTATCCCTCCCTCCATGTCTTCCGCTTCCTGCCTGCAGCAGCTGTTAATAGTGCAGAGCTGTAGCTGCTGCAAAATTGCAACGTGGAAGGGACGACTCTACTGCTTCAATCTTTCTTTCGCCAAGACGCGGACTCAACTCCTCCATCTATCTATCTATCTATCTATCTATCCATCGTGCATAACTGTATAATTTCTACTTCGTATTGTAACTTAATCATCGAGTTGATGCATTTCATTCATTACGATGGATAAATTCCCACTAATTCTGAGAAACCAATCAATAACGACCGCCGCCACACCCTGATCAATATGCAGAACGTTCACTTTACATTTTTTCATTGCCTCACGACGACTTGTGAACTGTTGGATGTATGGTGTAAAAACCTTCTGAGTTTACTGATATCATATACATGAGAGTTGACAGGAGACAAAGAGGGACTTACGGAAAAAAACAAAGAAGAACATTGTACGAGAATAGAACGAAATTAGGAAGATTTAAGAAGATAGCAAAACATAAATAAATGAAGAGAATCAAGAGGAAAACATACTTGGTCGTGCCTCTCATCTTCTCATTCCCATTTGACCTCGGGATTAGATAGGGTAACAACACCTCTTTTGTTGTTATAATAACAACAAATTTCGCTAGGGGCAAAAAAGTAAAACCAAATGAAATAAAGTCTTATAGAAATTTAAAATTGCGATCCGTACATCTTCTTCAACCCTGCCGCGTTTTCTCCTCCGCCTCTGTTTCTTCTACCACCAGTTCTCCCTGCAAATCTTGCAAGAAGATAGAGATAGGGATGATTCCCGTTCCCCTGCTTCCCACTTAATCACCGCCTAGGAATCGACATCTGGCGCCGGCGGGATCTGATTTTCCGTCGGCAGTGCTATTGGTGAAAACGGCGCTGCCTTAATTTCATTTGCGGCGGCGGGGGAAGATTCAGAGCTGCTGATTATTAACGGCACCCGAAAAGCTTCCTGGGACTGGAGTTCCTGATCCTGCTCCGCATCCAGGGCCTCCAAAAGAAGCCGGTGGGTTCGTGAGGATGTGGTGGTCAAGGATGACTATCATCCCTGTTTCAACGGGCATGGATTTGGGATCTGCGTTTGCTGCAATCTTCATGTACTTTCTATTCAGTTGAACCGAGTTTGGGAAATTCATTATCTTTTCATTGTGGAAGTCTGAAGTCTCCATTCTCATCTGACTCGTTCCCTTGAAGCCACATTGTGTTTGTTGCTTCTTATTAATAATAATAATAATAATAATAATAATAATAATAATAATAATAGATCATTGCTTCAATATTTTCTTGGTTTCAGGGGACTAAAGAGCAACTAAATTGATCAATTTGCATTCTCAATTGATTTTATTGTTGTGTTAACTAAAAATCCCACAAACCATACCACAAATATTTCTAAAATACACCAACAACCTCTTCATGTATACCACAAATCTCCCGAAACAAGTTAGAACCATTTTACAAGTAAACCACAAATATTTATAAAGCACACCAGAAAAGCTCATAATGCAAACTATAAATTTTTCGAAACGGACTAGAAATGCCACAGAGCAAACCGCGAATGTTCAAAGCAAACAAAAATTTGCTAATGCAGGCTACAATCATTTTGAAACATACGTGAAACACCACAAATCAAACCACAAATATTTCTAAAACAAACAAGAAACTTCCTAATGCATACAACAAATTTCTCGAAGCACAACACAAATCTCCTAATATTTGAAACATATGAGAAATACCACAAAGCATACCACAAATTTTTCTAAAGCACAAAAGAAGCCTTCTAATGCATACAACAAATTTCTTAAAGCAAACCAGAAACACCACAACCCAGACCGCAATATTCCTAAAGCACATCAAAAGCATCCTAATGCATACACAAATTTCTTGAAACAGACCAGAAACACCATAAAACAAACCTCAAATATTTTTAAAGCACACCAGGAACCTCCAAATGTAAACCACAAATCTCTTGAAACAAACCAGAAACACCACAAAGCATACCCCAAATATTTCTAAAACACACAAAAAAATCTTAAAACATACCACAAACACGAAAAAACAAACCACAAAAAACAGACCATAAACAAGAGAAATCAAACCACAAATCTCATAAAACAAATCGCAAAATACATTACCATAAACAAGAGAAATCAAACCACGAATCTCATAATGCATACCACAAAATTCAACAACTAGTGATTGATGACTAAACTTCGGTCATCGACGGTCATTATAGCATGATGCACTATGTTTTCATGTGTGTCATGACATTATTATCGAATATAAACAAGTTATTTTATATAAAAAAAATTGTCCTCCAACTTACTAGCTCGACTCAATGCTAGTTTGTAAATTTACATCGAGTCTCTGATTTATCGATGCATTACATCTGATTCATTCTCTATGAGGGAATCAGAATTATTATTTCAAAATTTATCATTTCTTCATCTTGTTCATAGAAATTAATCTCAAGTGTCAGGTAGAACTAGAACTTTAGCTTTGCTGCTATTATTTAAAAAGAAAAGTCCATTCAAAATGGGCCTTGGATAGTGCAGGCGGCCTGCATGGGAGCGGGAAACGCTGATACTTTTTTGTAGGGATCGGACTATTATGCCCTCTTTTAATTTTACGGTAGACAAATTAGTCAACCAATCTCTAATAAAAAGTCAGTAAAACTCTAATTTTCTATTGGCTGATACCTCTGTTGTCACTATAACAACAAATAAAGTGTTGTTATCCTATCTAATCCCTTTGACCTCGTCCTCTTCTTCCTTTTCCTTCCCAACCTTCCTCCCAAACACCCCCAAATTTCATCCTTCTAATTTCTGATTAATTAGCTACACTTGCCCAAGAAGAAAATAATCCCCAAATCATTACTCAAATCAATAAAAAAAATTAATAATAATAAGCTGGAGCCGCGCTTCCAACTAGAAAGACCTAATTATTATTATTAAACATTTTTATTTATTTATAAAACCAGGCCTCAACATGGTGGACGGAAAACATGGGCAGGCAGACTGTCTTCTCTCTCCTCTCCCTCTTTCAAATTTCCTTCCACCACTTCATCAGACTCCCCAATCAAATAATATATACTCCATTTCTTTCCCTTTCTAACTTCCGCCACCGCCGCCCCGCACCAATGCGCCACCGCCAAATGTCTCCCCGCTCCATCTCCTCCCTCTTCTTCCTCTGCCTCCTCCTCCTCTCCGCCGCCTCCGCAGCCGACGATGACGACTCCGACGCCGTCCGCATCCCGCGTTCCATGCGATTCGAAAACCCCCGCCTCCGCCAGGCCTACATTGCCCTCCAATCATGGAAGCAGGCCATCTACTCCGACCCCTTCAACTTCACCGCCAACTGGACCGGCCCCGCCGTCTGCTCCTACTCCGGCGTATTCTGCGCCCCTTCCCTGACCAGCCCCAAACTCCGCGTCGTCGCCGGCATCGACCTCAACCACGCCGACATCGCCGGATACCTCCCCACCGAGCTCGGCCTCCTCACAGATCTGGCACTCTTCCACATCAATTCAAATCGCTTCTGCGGCATTGTCCCCAAATCGTTCCGCAAGCTCAAGCTCCTCCACGAGTTCGACATCAGCAACAATCGCTTCGTCGGAGCGTTCCCCACCGTCGTCATCTCGCTGCCGTCGCTGAAATACCTAGATCTGAGATTCAACGATTTCGAAGGCTCTGTACCTTCCGAGCTCTTCGACAAGCCGCTCGACGCTCTGTTTTTGAATGACAATCGGTTCCGATTCGGGATCCCGAAGAATCTAGGCAACTCTCCCGTTTCGGTGCTGGTGTTTGCGAACAACAATCTCGGCGGTTGTATCCCGGGGAGCATTGGCAAGATGGGGAAGACGCTGAATGAGATTATTCTGATGAATGATAATCTCACCGGTTGTTTGCCTGCAGAGATTGGGATGTTGAAGGAGGTCACGGTGTTTGATGTGAGCTTCAATCATCTTCAAGGCTCGCTGCCTTCGAGTATTGGGAATATGAAGAAGGTGCAGCAGCTCAATGTGGCGCATAATCAGTTCACTGGAGTTATTCCGGCGAGTGTTTGCTCGTTGCCGAATCTGCAGAACTTTACTTACTCGTTCAATTACTTCTCCGGCGAGGCCCCCAGCTGTGCGGCGGTTAGACGCGGCGTGGCGGTGAATGGGACGAGTAATTGTATTGCTGGGAAGGCGAATCAGAGATCTGGTAGGGAATGTTCGTCGGGAGCTGCTCGTCCGGTTGATTGTAGCAAGTTTCAGTGCGGCGGCGGAGGAGGTGGTGGTGGTAGTGGAGGAAGTGGGAGCGCCAGCGGGGGTCGTAGAAGGCCGCCGGTTAATGTTCCGTCGACGCCCAAGGCCTCACCGCCGAAGCAGCCGATCGTTGGAGGATCTCCACCGCCTCCAAAGTCTAGGTCGTCGCCTTCTTCTAGATCACGGTCTCCTCCGCCCCCGACGAGATCTTTCCATTCACCTCCGTCTCCACCTCCGCCTTCTTCGCGAGTTTCACCGGTGACTCACCTTCCACCGCCTCCTCCTCCTCCTCCCACGCAACAGACAGCACCGCCTCCTACAGAAAAAGTGTCTCCAGGGACACGTCACGCACCTCCGCCGCCATCTCCTCCTCCTCCATCACCACCACCGCCAGTTTACTCTCCACCTCCGCCGCCGCCAGTTTACTCTCCACCCCCGCCGCCGCCTTCCCCACCTCCTCCTCCACCTCCAGTTTACTCTCCACCACCGCCCCCACCATCACCACCACCGCCTCCGCCACCTGCTTACTCTCCACCTCCGCCGCCGCCAGTTTACTCGTCACCACCTCCGCCGCCAGTTTACTCCTCACCGCCACCACCACCGGTTGAGTACCACTCGCCTCCTTACTACCAACAGTCATCTCCACCACCACCGCCGCCTACTTACCAGCAATCACCGCCACCACCAACGGGTGAGCATCACGCGCCTCCTTATCACCCGAGCTCTCCACCACCACCGAACCACGCGCCCGCTCCAGTCCCATGCACAACTCCACCGCCACCGCCCGCGAAGCCCGGATGTGAGCTCCCGCCGCCAGCGCCAACAATGTCGCCGCCGCCTACACCCAGCTACCACTCGCCGCAATCTCCGCCGCCTCCACATCACCAAAGTCCTCCACCACATTACACGTATTCGTCTCCTCCCCCTCCTCCCCACTCACCGCCACCGCCATCACCGCCGCCGCCAGCAGTTGAGAACGTGCCTCTGCCGCCGGTGATAGGTGTATCGTACGCTTCGCCGCCGCCACCATCGATTCCGTACTACTAAGTTCGTCGTCCGTGGCGACATTGAAAGGCATTTGTATTACAGAATTGATTAAAAAAACGGAGATTTGTCATTTTCTTTAATTTCTCTTTGATTTGTTATTTTGCGTCGAGGAAAAATACTACATTTAATTTTTTTTTTCCAACTCCTTTATCGTTAATTTAAATTTTGCACCGAAAATTTTAATCCAAGAGGTTCGGTTTGTTCAATGTTCATGAACTGATTGGGTTGGGTTTATGGTGTAACAAAAACAATAACAGCGGTTATTACTTATTTTCACAGCCTTTGGAACTTGATTATCGATAATAATAATAATTATTATAGTAAGGTTATGTTGCAAAGTGAGGTATGATTGATCGTTTCAGGAGGTTGATTCGACCAGTACGTGTTAATTGGCACACGTGAAAAGTCAAGGTAATTATTATCAAATAATGAATCATTAAGTCCCATTGAAGAACGGATTATTAAATATTAACCTAATCTAATCGGGCTGGGCGTGATAAACGGAAGGGGGAAAAGATTCTTAAAAAATTTCCTTTTGCTGTCAAAATGATGTAATATCTGGATATTTGAATTTATGTGATTAATGCAAGCAATTAATGCTCTGGCCATGATTTATCCAGATTCCAGACACAGTACAGATCATCCACTAATCCAGTACCTTGCCTTACTAGTTTCAACGGTAACAGTCCCTGAAAATGGCGGTTTGTGAAATAATATTGGAGACAATGTCAGATTAGAGAAATGATTATTTAATGACAGAATCTTGATTCAACAAGTGACACATTAACATGGTATTCATCTTATCGGGCTAAAACTGACAAATCGCGAGTAAGCATTTCACCGATATTGTGCTGACCCGTACAATGTTTTCGAATGTACGTACACACACCGCCAATCTAGCCAGCAATATGCAATTGGTCCGCATCGATGGTAGGGTACGGAACACAAACCGTGCTGAAAAGATTGTTCTTCAAGTAAGCTAAGTAATGATGTGTTTGTGAAGAACATCATCCATGATCCAACACCTTGTATACTGGAGTGGATAAAAATCAAATCCTGAAGGAGCTAAAGTGGTGGTGGCACATAAAAGAAGAAGTTATTATGTATTTGTTAGACCATCTCCAACAACAAGGCTAAAATGCCAAATTTTGGGGAAAAGTCCCTCCAACAACAAATCTAAAATGCTTAAAAGCCAAAAAATGGGAATTTTGTAGCTAAATTTAGCACACAAAAGGACAAGAAATGGGAAAAATCCCAAACCCCACTTCCTCTCCTTGATGGACGTGCCATTCAATTAAAACACCATGTGAAAGAATTGACAATAACGAAAACGAAAAGGAACAACACACGGTATTTACGTGGTTCGTCTCATTCGGTGTGAATGAGCTTACTCCACGGAGAAGTTATGCTATCTCAGCCTTTTTCATTAGTAGTACAGCCGATTACAGATTACAAATATATATGTGAGATAAAACTCATGCCCTTGTACATTCAACTAGGGTTTCGGTGTCAAGCCTCTGGAAGGAGGCATGCACGTTGCATGGGCCAAAACCAAAAGAGAATGGGCTTCGACCCATGTCCCATCGGCTGCTACTAATGTGACGTCGTAACAGTCACTTCACTCCCCCACAAGCTGAGGCATGGAGGTCACAAATGCCCAGCTTGGAAAGAAGCGCATGAAAACGATCACCAGTAAGTCCCTTGGTAAAAATGTCAGCGAGCTGATCGGTGGAGGAAACTTTCTGAGGAAGTATCGCACCAGAGGTGACATGCTCGCGGACAAAATAACAGTCCATCTCGACGTGTTTCGTACGTTCATGAAACACAGGGTTATCTGCAATATGTAAAGCAGCTTGATTGTCACAAGAAAGGACCGTCGGGCCAGGAGAAACCACGCCAAGATCGTGAAGGAGAGCTCGAAGCCAGAGCACTTCACTGACAGCACCAGCCATGACCCGATACTCTGCCTCAGCCGATGAACGGGCAACAACGGACTGTTTCTTGGTACGCCAAGAAATGGGAGCATCACCCAAAGTGACAAAGTACCCAGAGGTAGAACGACGGGTAGTCTGACAGCCACCCCAATCAGCGTCACAATAGGCTCGTAATGTGAGTGTACCTGACGCCGGAAGAAAAATACCCTGTCCTGGAGCAGATTTTAGGTAACGAAGAACGCGCTCCGCACCAGCAATGTGATCAGGAGAGGGATCATGCACCGAACGGCTGAGGATGTTGACTGCATAAACAATGTCGGGGTGAGTGACAGTGAGATATTGAAGCCGCCCGATAAGACGACGATAAGCTGCATCATCATCGGGGGAAACACCGGGACTCGTGGAATCAGGAGGCCGAGTGAGCTGGTGATGTTGCTCAATGGGGAAACGACTAGGGCGGCTGCCGGTGAGACCACTGTCACGTAACAAATCCAAAGTATACTTCCTCTGACTTAATGCAATACCATGCCGAGAACGGCCCACTTCGATGCCAAGAAAATACTTCAAGGGACCCAAATTCTTAATGCCAAAGCGACTATGCAACTGGTCCTTAACAGTCTGAATAAAACCGAGGTCATCCCCAGCTAGAATGACATCGTCAACATAAATTAACGCAACGACGTACGTGCCATGATGCCGACGAGTAAACAGGGAGTAGTCAGCACGGGAACGCTGGAAACCAAGCTCAAGGAGAGTAGAAGTAAACTTGGCGTACCAATTCCGGGACGCCTGCTTCAAGCCATAAATGGACTTATGAAGGCGACAAACGCGAGAGTCCCCTGGCGCTGCAAAACCAGGAGGAATTTTCATGTAAACTTCCTCCAGTAGGTCGCCGTGCAAGAAAGCATTATCAACGTCAAGCTGATGAACAGTCCACCCTCGAGCTGCGGCAACACAAAGAAGTGCACGAACACTAACCAGTTTCGCAACAGGCGCGAATGTATCATGGTAATCGATACCTTCAGTCTGGGTAAAACCCTTGGCGACAAGGCGAGCTTTATACCGCTCAATACTCCCATCAGCCTTGTATTTAATCTTGTAGACCCAACGACACGCCACCACCTTCTTACCATGGGGTAAAGAGACGAGAGACCACGTCCCATTGGCAAGGAGGGCGTCGATCTCGCGCTGCATGGCGGCGCGCCACTCAGGATCGCGCATTGCCTCGCGAAAATGGGCAGGTTCAAAATGGCTGGACACCGCCGCAAGAAAGCTGCGATGGTGAGGAGCAAAGCCATCGTAATTCACGTAGTGACTCATAGGATAGGGAACATTCGACGGGGGGAGCTCAACGTCGTAGCCATCAAACTTGCGAGGAACTTGACGGCGCCGGTCACCGCGACGAGGAACCGCGACAGGTTCCGCAACCGAAGAGGAAGCTGGCTCCGCAGCTGGAGAAGAGGGGCCGAGTTCGGTCTCCGCAGCTGGAGTAGGGGAGCTGGGCTCTAGGGGAGCTGCCGTCGAACCATCCTGATCAGCAGAGAGAGGCGCTGTGGAAACTGGGACATCCTCCACAGGAGCAGCAACAGGAGGCGCCGTGGGAATAGAAGGGCGTATCGAAGAGTGTTGATCGTGGAAGGGAAAAACATCCTCCACAAAATGAACGTCCCGGCTGGTATAAAAGGTACGAGTAGTCAAGTCATAAAGGCGATAGCCTTTCTGAAATGCCGGATATCCCATGAACACGGAACGACGACCACGCTCATCAAACTTTGAAAGCCCATGGTGAGTGTCTTTCCCATAAGCTAAGCATCCAAGTATACGCAGATGATTATAAGAGGGTGATTTACGCAGCAAAACTTCATATGGAGTCCGATTCTGAAGTACCTTGGATGGCATACGGTTGATCAAGTAAGTGGCCGTCAGTACACATTCTCCCCAAAATCGAAGAGGAATGTTGGCACGAAAACGCAGAGCCCGAGCGGTTTCGAGCAAATGTCTGTGCTTACGCTCAACCACCCCATTCTGTTGGGGCGTATCGGTGCATGAAGTGCGAAGGATGATTCCCCGATCGGCATAAAAGGTTTTCAATCCTGGAGTCTGGAACTCAAGTCCATTGTCGGCCTGGATACATGCAACCTGCTGATTAAACTGCGTACCAACCATGTTAATGAACATCTTCAAATACCCTTCAACATCAGACTTATAACTCATCAAATAAACCCAAGTAGCACGACTGAAATCATCCACTATCGTGAGAAAATAACGTGCTTTATCCGAAGTAGGGACCTTGAAACTGCCCCAAATATCAACATGAATAATCTCAAAACAACGACTGGTCTTTATGGAGTGCTTAGGAAAAGGCGTCCGTGTTTGTTTAGCTTGCATACAAGAATCACAAGATGCAATCGGACATTTATTTGGAATAGCTAGAAAAGAGCTCTTCTTCGGCGAAGGATGACCAAGCCTGGAATGCCATAGCTCCCCCATTCGCGCATCACCACTGGCAACCATAGCATGAGATCCTTGAGCCCCAAAAAGCCGAAGATAATAAAGTCCATCACGAAGCTGACCCGTCCCAATCGTCTTCTTGGAGTGTGAGTCTTGAATGACGCAGAAATCCCGCAAAAATATTAATGCCACATCAAAATCCTGTGTTAGCCGACTGACGGACAAGAGATTGCACTTAAACAATGGAATGCTCAAGACTCGGATGAGCTTCATCCTGTTGGATAAACTGAGATCACCAACATGCTTGACTGCTACGCTGTCTCCATTCGGAATGTTAACAGGCAAGTACCCAGACACCTCGTTCAAGTTTTCCAATAACGATGCATCATGAGTTATATATTCATTACAACCGGAATCAATAATCCACTCAGAGTCGGAAGGAAGCTTACCAGCCATGTTAACCTGCGGCTCGAAGGAACCGTGTGACGAACCAGTGCCGCCAGCGCCATTCTGGTTGATGAATTGAAGTAGCTGTTGCACCTGGTCGGGGCTGAGACCAGGAATAGTCACGCCTGCAGAGGATTGGGCCGCGCGTGCCTTGCCAGAACGATTTCCACGAGATCGTTCCTCACGATCACCAGAACGGGGGCGCCTCTCCGGGTAGCCAATTAATTGGAAACAAGTTTCCTTGGAATGCCCAAGTTTCTGGCAGTGGCTACAACGAACTGCCGCTTTGCGATCTGGACTCCCCCCGCGCTCATCTCGTTTATGACGATCAGGTTTGTCTTCGCGTCGGCCGTGATCTCCATCATCCCGATCGCGTTTGGCATGAAAGGCAGCAGCATCGACACTCGGCTTTCTGTTTGCGGCTATTTGTCTCTGTTGCTCTTCTGTGGACACCAACCTGTAAGCTTCACTAAGCTTTGGCGTGGGTTTCATGGACAGAATTTGGGTCTTGACTGTGGCAAAAGCATCCCCAAGTCCCATAAGAAAATCAAAGAGATGTTCATTCTCCAGATTGTCCATGACTGTCCGCCCAATGTCACAGGTACAGAGGCTGCATTTACAACGCGGAACAGGGGTAATCGCTTGCATCTCCTCCCAGATGGAACGAAGTTTGGTGAAAAAGGTAGAAACACTTAGCTTTTCTTGCCGAAGCAGACTCAGGTTTGGCGCAACTCATACGCACGAGCAGCCGAGCCACGTCCAAAACGTGATTCGAGATCGATCCAAATCTCCCGGGCTGTCTTGGCATATCGGATCGAACTCCTCACCTCCTTGTCCATGGCGGTCTTCAACCACCCCTTGACAAGAGCATCACACTGAACCCAGGCATCCTGGATTGCACCAGCCTCCTCCGGGCGCGCAATCGTGCCATCCACAAGACCAAGTTTATTCTTGGCAATCAAGGCTTCTGTCATATCAGTAGCCCATTCTCCATAATTGGAGTCATTCAACAGCTCACCGACAAACATCTGACCAGGATTATCTGACGCTTGCATCCTCAACGTCGCGGGGATCACCGAAGGGATCTGTCCTCCTCCGCCATTGCCGCCTGTGTTGAGTATCGCACGATTCGGATCACTGGTCGTGTCGTCGCTCATCGTAAAAGCTTAGGTTTAGAAAACCAGCTATGATACCATGAAAGAATTGACAATAACGAAAACGAAAAGGAACAACACACGGTATTTACGTGGTTCGTCTCATTCGGTGTGAATGAGCTTACTCCACGGAGAAGTTATGCTATCTCAGCCTTTTTCATTAGTAGTACAGCCGATTACAGATTACAAATATATATATGTGAGATAAAACTCATGCCCTTGTACATTCAACTAGGGTTTCGGTGTCAAGCCTATGGAAGGAGGCATGCACGTTGCATGGGCCAAAACCAAAAGAGAATGGGCTTCGACCCATGTCCCATCGGCTGCTACTAATGTGACGTCGTAACCGTCACTTCACCATGAACACATGGAAACCCCCTCTAAACCCATAATTAAAACAAAACTAATCAAATTAAACCTATTTTTAATAATTGACCTGCATTAATACGTTATTGTTTGCGTCTCCAGTCTTAATCCACCAATTATTGTATTTTTGTCACTAATGACGTCATATTTAATAATGTATATTTTTTGTCAAAATTAAAAAAAAATTACATCAAAATGTTCGTTCTAATTAATTATAACTACCTGCATACAAAGAATCTACAAACTATCTAATTAAAATGATGAAATCTACACTAATCTAGATTACCACAAAATAGAAGGTTTGGCATTTTAGCATTCCTTGTTGGAACAAAACCCACCTTTGGGGTGCCAAAATGCCAAACCTCTTTAGCATTCTAGCATTTTCCCAATTTGTTGTTGGAGATGGTCTTAGCTAGCTACAACTCGCTATGTCGGCAAAAGGTGTAAAATAAGGTACTGCACTAGCCAAATTTGAAACATGGAAGTGTCGCTGTCGTAGCACCGAATTGGGGGGACGCGGCGGGCGATGGTTTGTCGGAGATTTGGGATTTTCTGCTTGACAGCTTAAGCTTAGCGTCATGTTCATTACTGCTCACTCATTAATAGCAAGACAAGACAGCCGCTACTGTTACCAAATCGCCTCGCTGGCCATTACTACTATTTACTAGTACTATCGCCATCACCGTCTCCAAAATGCCCAAAATGTGTTTCGATGACATGACGTTGTATCTCTATATTGAACGTGTAAGAAAATGATTAATTATCGTATATAAATTTCTCTCAAACGACTGGAATTAGTGAAACTAGTTAGTTTATACTTTATACCCATGGAATCATATTCCTGTGTCTGGTAGATAAATCATCTATGTGCCAAAGGTAACATAGCCTAGTGGTGAAACCACTGGATCAATTGAGCTTTGGATGTGGGAGGTCCTGAGTTCGATTCCCAGTGGCGCCACTTGAGCGTTCCCGGCGGCATCCTTGGTATCGGAGGCGAAGCCTTCCCAATGTTGGTAGCAGAAAGTCTCGGTTAGTATGCAGGTACCCCCAGTAGTTTAGTAGGCCCCGCGCTGTCGCAAAAGCGGCACGTGGGGCAGAAGTTCCCTGGATTATAAATAAAAAAAAGATAAATCATCTAATGAAAATTGATCACGGTGTTAAAACTCAAGCCCAATTCCATCCCGAACATAGATTCAGTTAAAGCTCACAGGCCCACTAGTAGCGTATAATTCCAACAATCATAGCCCACTTCTTCCTGAAGGAGGAAAATAAGGTTCGAAACCCCACCATACAAAATCACGGCGGTTCTACCATACTATTATTTCGTTCTATAACCCTAGCCGCCGGCGGTGGCAGCTTATTCTCTCACTCGATAATCAATCCGCCTGCCGTTGTTCCGCCGGACATTGGAGCGATGAAGCTATTCGAAGACGACGATGTCACTGCCGAGGATATATCCAACATTGAGATTGACCAGGAGTTCGCCCGGCGGTACGCGCACAACAAGAAGCGGGAGGATCTCCAGCGGTACGAGGAGCTGAAAAAGAGTGGCCGAATCGACGACGACGATTCGGAATCAGACTCCGAGTCGTCGGACGACGAGGCTGCCGATATCGCTGGCGCCAACAAGAAGAAGGACATCAAGTTCTTCGAGAATCTGCTCAAGGTAAGGAAGCAAGACCCTTCTCTGTACCAGAATGTTCCAATCTTTAGCGATAGCGAGGGAGAAGAAGAAGGAGAGGACGAAGAGAAGGGCCGGGATGATGGTAAGGTTGATGAGAAGCAGAAGGATGAGAGCAAGAAGAAGAGGAAGTCAATGTACTTGAAGGATGTTGTGGCCAAGAACTTGATCGAAGATGGCCCTGAATTTGATGGTATGGAGACTAGAGAGGGGAAGAGAGGGAAGACTTACAATGAAGAACAGGAGGAATTGAGGAACCAGTTTCTAGATGCTGTGAAGGATGCCGTGGGCGAGGATGACGGGGAAGGGGGAGGAGAATTCTTGAAATTGAAGGATAAGGGGAATGAAGGGATTGGTGAGGATGATGAGGTGTTAGAGGCGAAATTGGGGGAGTACTTTGGCCCTCAGGAAGAGTTGGATGAGAACAAGATGTTTCTGATGGAGTTCTTCAAGAATAAGATGTGGGCTGAAAAGGGTAATAACGGTAGGGAAAATGGTTTCGAGCTCGATGACATCGATGAGATAGATGGGGAGGAGGTAGAAAGGCAGGAAGAGTTTGAAGGGAAGTTTAATTTTAGACATGAAGAGAACAAAGGGGATAGGGTGATGGGTCACTCTAGGTTTGTAGAAGGTGCTATTAGGAAAGAGGAGAATCCGAGGAAAGGGCAAAGGAAGAGGAAGGAGGAGAGGATGAAGGAGGCCGAGATTCGGCGAAAGGAGGAGTTGAAGCACTTGAAGAATTTGAAGAAGAAAGAGATGGATGAGAGGCTCCAAAAGGTTATGGAGGTTGCAGGTATTAAAAGTGGCAATGGTGCATTGGATTTGGATGAGTTGGAGGATGATTTCGATCCTCAGAAGTATGATAAGATGATGAAGAAGGCTTTTGATGATGGGTATTACGAAGCTGAAGATGCTGATCCTGGGTTTGGCAGTGCTGGGGATGATGATAGTGATATCGAGAAGCCAGATTTTGATAAAGAGGATGAGTTGCTTGGACTTCCTAAAGGCTGGGACACAGCTGATAATGAGGATGGCTTTGCATCTACTCGGGAAAAGATTTTGAAAGAGAAGGGTGAGAGTGATGATGATAATGATGATGATGATGATGTTGATGATGATGAACAGGAAGAAGGGAAAGAGGAAGGTAAAAAGGATGAAAGGGAGGATGGAGGTAAAAGGAAGAAGCAAAAACGCAAGCTGTCCTTGCTTCAGAAAACCAAGCAGGAATTGCTGGACGAGTACTATAAATTGGATTACGAGGGGACAATTGGAGACCTAAAGACGAGGTTTAAGTATGCTAAAGTGAATCCTAACAAATATGGACTGAAGACGGAGGATATATTGTTGTTAGAGGACCAAGATTTGAACCAGTATGTGTCTGTGAAAAAGCTTGCCCCTTACAGAGAGAGCGAGTGGAAGGTTCCCAGCAATCAGAAGAACCAGTATAAGATGAAGGTTAAGGAGTTGAAGAATAACCTCAACATCCGAAAGGTTAGCAAGAAGAATCATAACCCAAAGGTCGATAGTAATAACAGTGAAGGATCAACTTCAGCTGGCCTATCCAGGAAAGCGAAGAGAAGGCAGAACCAAGCACATCTCAAGTTGTCTCATGGTAGGCTCTTAGCATATGGGAAGGTTCAGCCTAGTGCTAAAAGCAAGAAGAAAGTCTGATTGTACCCGAACATGCCAGGTATGGAAAGTAGGTGCATTACTTGTACCGTCTTTTTTCACTTTTGCTATGTTCAAACAATGATTAGCTGCTTGCTCGTTTGATACCCTTTTCCATTTGTTGATGTTAATTGCCAGCTTGCTTGTACTCTTACTCGTATCCTTCTTCGGTTTCCTGTAATTTCGTGAATAACCAAGTTGTAGATTCTATAGCGTAGGATAATGATTTTGTTGTCCAATTTTTGCATTTCTCTTTGTACTTGCGTTGAGCCTTGCTGCTTTATTCGCTCTTATTATTCTCGTCACTTGTTGTTCATTGAAGCTCATGGTTGGAAATTACTGAAGTGAATTATATCTGCTGATGGAGTGCATCTTATGATCCTAAAGTCCTGCTTTTTCTGCCAGAATCTGGATTTCAAACCTCGTGTATGGCAGATTATCTGAAGGACGGTGTGTGATCTCCGACCTAATGAAATGACAAGAAGATATTGTTGTTTTTATGTTTTGATCAAGATTGAGTTGAACTTGGCAAATACAGGCTGTTCCAATCCTGGGGGGTGCAAGTCTCTGTTTTGGTAGACCCAGTGTATTTAGTTTCCTTCTTCTGTGTAATTTAGATATGCAGAAGACCATGTCTCTTTACTGCTACGTCAAATTGTTTCACCATATTCTCAATATCATTGTTGCTCCTCTCAATCCTGGATGAGTAACTTCTCCACAAAAATGTAACTTACAAGGATTTGAAGCATATTTATGCATTTGATGGTGGGAATGTGAGAATTCTATGTAATGTCAAAATGCAGTATTTTAGTTAAAAAGACCACTTGATTTGGTTCATCGACAGCCCAAGTCGCCCGTTTCCCAGGTTCACCCACCCCTAAATCTATACAGCCGTTGCAAAAACCAGGTCAAAATCCAACCAATTCATCAAGCAGCTCCAAACGTATTCTGGTCTGACAGCGATAGGCCACCGGCCACTTGTTTTCTGATGTTCAATGCAAACAGTTATATTTGAACGCAGATTTGCGGCCACAGCGCTGCACAAAGCACTACACATCTGATTCTGTCACAAACCCTTGACTTGCCTCAAATTGAGGCCGATATTGTAGACTATAATCTTTTCTTTGAACGTTATGTATCTATCACAAAGAGATCCATGAACCCAAGAATCCAACACCAAATAATACGCACTTTCTTAGCAGGACCTACTCCGAAACCACCTTGAAGAATGATCTTTCTCGCTAACACAAACTATGGACCGCCCGGCAGGCAGTGCCGATACAGATACTGCAACCTGGGAATGGAGGTGAAATCTCAGGGAACTACAGTAGTGAAAAACCTAGAAGAAATGTATATAACTTAAAAGGAGAGTCTTTATTCATGTCCACAAACCTATACACAAAAGAGAGAATCCTAAAATCTAACAAGCCCCCATATCTTTCCCTTCTTTGCTTGATTAACAAAATGCCATATACCCTTTACCTTCTGCCCCCACCAAAACAATCATCTATCTATACACAGCAACACAACCAGCCCCACCTCAATAATTAGGTAGGCTAAAGTGGATAAGAACACCAAGATGTCTCCCAGTCCAAACTTGACTCGAAAATAAACCAAAGAGAAGACACCATTAAGGACATAAAAGAGAAGGAAAAAAAAAACATATAAATCCCAACCTAGCTCCAACTTCACAAGAATAAGAAGAATACTACAGGCTACTACTAGTCTACTTCATTAAAAACAGACCTTCCAAACATTTCAAACCCGCGCCCACAAAGTCATTGTGGTTCTCTCTTCGGATCGAGCGTTGTGTGAAGTCGACAAAGAATCATCCGAAGCGGATCACAATGCATGATATATCGTCTTTGCTGTTTCTAGCCAATGCCTCTGTCGTCAAGCGCTTGGCTGCCGCCTGAGGGTCTTTTATCGTTTTCACCAAATCTATTGCCTCTTGGTTCTTCATGACCTGTTTGATGCATATCCAATTAGTTCTGAGTATTGAAGGCAATAAGCAAACAAACTGATGAAGCATTATTCAATCAACCATTAGGCTATAATTCTATGCTTCTGGCAGGGCAAGTAACCTGGTGACATTAATCAGGCCAGCTGCTGTTAAATAAAAAGCACAAGTTCCATTGATTGATTCAGCAGTGAAATAAATGAACCATCGCCATATTATGAATAGGAACAAGTGTGATGTATGCTGATTCAAATTAACTCCAGCCAACTGGTAAACCAGCATTCATGCAAAATTTGAAGTTAAAAAACTTCTTCCAGTTCGCTAATACCACATGGCTCGGACATGAAAAGGTAAAAACTTCTGCATTTGTCAACAGAAACTAAATCCAGTATATCCAATCTAAGAATTATCACAACAAACAAACGATTTAAATCATACAAGTTATGAAAATCTTGATGTAGCTAGATATGCAAGTCCAACCCTGTATGTGTCCTGACCTATATGCAGCTAGATATGCAAGTCCTCGGTAACATGTTCCGAGGAGAGAACCATCATACTGTCACTGGAGTAGCTGATCAACCCAGCAACTCATGAAAACATAGTAAACAAGGTTGCAGACTAGTTGTCTCAAGGATTGCTTTTTATTTATTTATTTTATATGTAGTTGTCTCAAGGATTGTTAGTAAATGAAATTCCATGAGTTTAAAAGAACTCACAAACAAAGATCATAACTTCACAGTTCCTTCACTGGACTTTACTTACGCTGTACGCTAGTTTCATAAAGACAACTAACATCCAAAATTGTCTCAGAACTGTAAAATATGGTCAGCCACAAAATTTCTGACATGTATGCAAGGGTGAGAGCATCTATCACAACACCAAGTGGCATCCATCCAAATCATAGATGGAATTACACAGCTCAGTCTCCACAGGCCTTCTCACAGGGAACTAGCTTTAATGTTGCCGAAATGAGATGCAGCAGAAGCCACGAGTGTGCCCTAAGGTCTATTAGTGTTCTGAGCGTCATATGCTTACTGCTCATTTGCATTTACTTCTGTTGTTTGTAATTTCCCGTGCTATTGACTTCCATTCAAGCCAAATATAGTAAATGTGATTCTCATGCTTTTCACAGAAGGGTAATAAGCACACATATATTACACACGGCTAGCACCTAGTTTTCATGCGGATGGAATGAAACAACCTTAACCCAACAACACAGTGCCTATAAAAACTAAAATATTCTGTGACTCTGATCAAACAATGCCAAGTCTAAATCTAGCACAACCAATATTCACCAATACCTTGCAAAACAAGTATCTTGAGATTACACTACTGGAGACCATCAAAAATTAACTTGCATATACTTCACGAAGTATAATAGTGAGAGAAGGGACTATTATAACCCCATGACTGAAAGCAATTGTCATTCTCAATAGAGTACGTGCCAAAATTCAGCGCCTTGAGTGAAACCTCTAATTTAGCTATTGAAAAAACACAGTCCGAATACAGAAGCTCTCGGCATTCCTTTATGTACTTCATAAATCATTTACTTTCAACATAGCATCAACCAAGTAACTCAGTTAAAATACTCAATCATACAGTAAAAGGAAGAATTCTAAGATAGAAGGAACAAGTCTAACCAGCAAAACAAAAGAGGAAAACAGAATAAGGGACCACAAGATAACTGACCTTCCACAAACCATCACTTGCTAATATAACAAAGTCCATCGTGGCGTCTATGGGCACATGTCTCATATCAGGTTCTGAACTTAAATGTGCTTTAAGGCTTTGATCACCAAAAGCTCGAGCAACTGCTAGTTGGCCATTTACTCTTGGTACATCTCCTGCGAAATACAAATAATCCAAAGCAATTACAAATCCAAAGAAATGCTAACGAAGACAGCAAATCTCAATTCCAAGCAACCGCACAAATGAGAACGTACACAAACTTATCAAACTCAAAGACCTTACCAGGAAGCGTTGTGACGAAGCCGCCTTTATTTTCAATCCTCTTTCGCTCAACATGAGGCTCATGGTCGACTGTAAGTTGATTTGCAGCACCCAACTCACAAACAACAGCTCTAGAATCTCCAACGTTGGCAATCCACAAGTCTTTACCATCGATAACAATGGCAGTCACTGCAGTTGAGCCACCAGGGCCTAATTGCAACGAATTCTCCAGGATGGAATTATCAGTGGAGCAGTAAGCATTCCTGATCGCCACAGCAGGATCTTTCCAGAAATTGGGCTGTATGAATTCCAATCAAACCACCACTCCAAGTAAGAACTAAGAACAGAACACAATCAAAATAAACATAATGAAGGAAACCCAAAGCAATCAAACCTCGTTGAGGATATTGTCAAACAGATTGTCCTTGAGATAATTGGGGACGCTATCGCCAAGATGCCCATCAAAGATTGCGAACAAACCAAGCTCATGATTCCTTGATTTGCGATACTCAGCGACGTGATAATCCTCCATATCGTGCCCTGATTTGCCTTTGACCAAGTGGAAACCGTGTGAAACCCGTCTTGACTTCGACGATTTGCTCTTCCCTTTCCCAGTATCTTGCTTGCCTGACGATCTCATACACGTCCCACACTGCAACCGCCGCCACAAACCAAAAAAATCAGAAAACCCCCACAATTCCCCGGCCATACTGCAAAACCCTCATCGGAAAAATCGAAACCCAATCGAGAAATCACAGGAACTAAGAAAGGGTTTGAACAACCTACCGTGATTCTATCGAAGAAAGACGGGGCTCCTCTCGAAGAAGCTGTAGCTGATTGTTTACTCATATTTCTTTTCTCTGTTCTCTATGTCGTAATCAATTCCCTTCTTCTACTGCTTCTGACGATGATGGTGGTGGTCGTGGTGATGGTGGTTGATAAATATCGAACTCCAGCTTTCTCCTACTTTTCTGCCTCGTCCCCGCCACCGCCACAGCCGCCGTCACAACTTGACTATATAAAAAAGATATGTAAGAAGAAAAAAAAGTCGCCGGCTTTGTATAATCAAAGAATAAACCGAACCCAGAAACGAAAAGGGGGGAAAATCTGATCTTTGAGGAGAGAAAATGAAAGGATTGAAGGGAAATAGAAGTGGGGAAGCGGAAGGGGAACTGGGGAAGAGAGGACCGGAAAGGAAGAAGAAAACTAGAAGAGCGTTTACCAGACTATAAAATTGATATTTAAATTTTTTTGGAAAAGGAAGTAGTAGGAATAAATACGATGATGGAGGTGTGGGGTACGGCCGACGTCCCCGAAGTTTCTCAGAAGTTCCATTTAATACCTTAACTGTTTCCTGATCTCTCGTCGCCTCATCTAATTCTTGTCTCCTGGCAATAAATCAGAACTACGTTTTTTTTCAAAGAAAAGACAACATAGTTTGTATTTCCTCACAAGTTGGTGTCACTTTTTCTGTTATACCCTAAGTTGTATAGATTTGACCGGATTTTAGAAGTGTTTTTCTGCTTTAAATTTGAAAGTCAGTCAAACAACTTATCTATAGTCTCGACTTTTTAAAAAGTTGGGAAGAACTTTTTATAACATAGAATCAAAAGTTTCAATTTAAAATTTCTAAGAAAAATTGTTTGCAGTAGGGATCGAAACAAGGTTTCATTTGTTTTACTCATGTCCTTATTTTCGGTATGTTCTTTCATTTGTTTGCAGCAGCAGCCTAGGTAAGAACATGTTGGATTGGGAATCAGTTGTTTGTTGGTGTGTGCAGCAGTGGAGAAAAAAGAATTCAGAAGCAGCTTTGGGTCGCTCAGTCTGAATTTTAGTGGTCAACCTTGTATGGCGAGAGCGTTGTTCCCGCTTATATGGAAGTAATGCAACAAACCCTCCTTATCTGATATGTGCTGAGTTGAAACATATCATACGATTTAGAGTTGAGAAAGTTCTAGAGTTGCAAAATAGCCTCGACCGGGCCAAATGCAGATAGTAGTTTATTATAGTAGATACTATATATAGCTTTTCTTTGTAATCATTCTACTATAGTTGTATGAGTTGAGAGGTGCTAAAAAAAAATTAATAAAATATTATCATTCTTTAATATCCTTTCGAGGAAACATAATTTTATTTTATTTATATCAATTTATTAAAATAGAAAATAATATTATTATTTCTACAGAAAAAAATTATTATTTAATATAAAAATTCTAACAAGTTTCATTTGAGTTATTTTATTTTTAAATTTATACTGTAAATTAAATTAGCCTTTAGAATCTTGAGAATCATTCATTTTAGAATTTCTACAAAATGATGAGGTTCTTTTTCTTTACATTTTTAGATGATTTTTTTTCTCACTCTTGTCACTATCATATTTTTACATATTTCACCTATACCTTCCTTTAATGAATATATAATAACAACTTCAAACTTATATAAGTCCTTTTGGTCATAAAAGTTATAATTTTTTTCTTTGAAAAGTGAGAATCACAAGTACCATTTCTTATAATCACTGTACTTTCAATGCATATATTTTAAGAATACACATATTTTTAGACTCTCAAATTTCAGACGACACATTTATATATGATTATTGATTATTTTCTAGGGTTTGGAGCATGGTTGTCACGCCGGCCGGCGTGCCACCGGTTGTATCTGGTTCAACCAGTATCGGTCATAAAACCGGCGTGACATCACCGGTATGACTGGCATGATCGATATACGAATCTCTAAGTAAAATGACCTTATTTTATTGAATTTAATTGTTAAAATTGTTTTATTATTTATTTTATGAGTATAAAAGTTAAATAGTGATGTTATTTGTTGGATTCAAGCATAAATGTTTAGGTATTGACGTTAAATGTCATGTTTAAATATGAGTATTTATAATTTTATTTGTAATATTGACCGGCATGAACCGGCACAAACCGGTATGTGCCACCGGTCGAACCATTCCACTTACTAAACCGGCACACTGGCATAAACCGGTTTGACAACCTTGGTTTGGAGTGTGTTTTGGACTCTTAAGATTACATTTTTCATCTAAAGCCTTATATTTAGGGATGGCAATTTTGCCCATACCCATGGGTATTTTACTATCCAACCCAATTGGGTTGGGTATGAAATCCAAATATATGGATATGGGTAAAGTTTAATGGGTTTGTACCCATACCCATTTACTTTGGGTTGGGTTGGGTTTATAACAAATGGATTTGGGTTTGTATCCATGCCCAAATACAAATTACAGTTTGGTACCTAAACTTAATAGATATGCATATTTAGTACCTAAATTTAATTTTTTTTGCATATAAGTCCTCAAAATATCGAAGGAAAATTACGTTTTGGTACCTAAATTTTTTTGGTCTTACATTTTGGTACCTAAAATTTTTCAAGTTTTACAAATAAGTCCAATTTTTGCATGTGTAGTAAAAACACCCTCAAGTAAATGGATATTCATATCCAACCCATACCCATTTAGATAATATCCATACCTAACCCAAACCCATATACAAACCCCAAACCCATACACACTTCACCCAAACCCTACCCATAATAAATGGGTCTACTTGGATTTGGGCAAAATTACCCATGGGTGGGTAAATTGCCATCCCTACTTATATTTGTTCAGTCACGTGGCATTAGTAATAGTCTCTTGGATGGTCATATGAATCCAATGAGTTTCCCAATCTTTTTTCCTTTTGCCCACCCAAACCATTTCAACCAAGCGGTCATCTGCCATCACCCAAACTATTCATATATATAACTTGAGAGAGCATAGTCGTCGCCTTCTCTAATGGTGACAATCCAGAAATGTGTCTTCCTTCAATGAGATATCGATCGTCATCTAGCCAGCCAGCCAGCCATGCATATTGATTAGCTAAGTTCCAGGTTTTGTTAGGGTTTTATTTCATGTGTATTTTCTGTGTGATGGTCTCTACTTGATTATTAGTTGTAAGTCGATTCATAAAGCACTCAAAATTAAGAATTATATTAGGTATAGGTTGAGCTCGTAAGCACGTTTAGGTTTGACATCCACTTTTTCTGTGTTACAAATTACAATCATGGAAAAGACGATTTTGGCTAGTACATTGTTTTAGACAACCGGTTAGGATGGTAGAAAATTTGGTTAATGAGATCACACCTTATAACAAATTAAAGGTTTCATCAAACTTTTTTGCTCTATTTGGATCAATGAATCGCTTCACTACCCATGAAATAAGGAGACAAGAATCAATATATGGCCGTGGATCATCCGATGATAAAGTTTTGTAAATTTTTTATAGAGGAAAGTGAAGTGTGGTAAGAATTGTCCTCAACCCATTGTAACTGAAGAACAATAGTATCAACAGATTCATGTTGGTCGGTAAGTATTTTATTAATGCGGCATGACTACGTTGTTGGTCGATCTCAGTGTAGCACCAACAGACATAGTGTCCTATATAAAAACTCGAGTTAATTGACGACTCCAAGGATTGAAATGAGGAGAAGGTCATCCATGAGACAAATTAGGAAATGTCTCATGATTTGTTCAAAGTCGGAAAAATCCCAATCCCCTAAAGTCGAGGCACCTCACGGCAACTTGAATTTTTCGATAAATGATTATCATCAATTTGAGGAGGATATTAATGTATGAGTATGGAGTAAAAGTATGAGTATGAGTATTATTATGTAATTTGCAAGAGTTACATGTCTTATTAGTATTATCATATATGGGTTAGATATGGTGCTAATCTTGACCGAGTTATCTTCTAATGAAGTTGAAAAAGAGTAGAGAAAAGGGATTCACAACATTAGGAGTTGTGTTGAAATGAATAGAAAGTGTAGGTGCTTTTGTGTAATTATTATTTTGGTATGGGATCGTAGAGGGGAGAGGGAAATTAATGAATGATGCCATGATGAGGATCCCTCAGTTTCCGCGTCGGGGCGGGCCCCACCACTGCTGCATCTTCCTGGAACCTTCCTTCCTTCCTTTCATTCCTTCTTCTTCTTCTCCTCCTTGATCGCTCATTCGCTCCCCCCTCTCTCCAAGATTCCTTCCCATGGCTGCAAAGACCGAAATCAATAGGGTTTTAAGTTTTTAAACTATTTCCACGGTGGTTGTGGACCAAAAGCTAGAAAATTGGCCAAATGGGTGTCGTTATCATATCATAAAAAATCGTCTATATAATAGAAAAGTCAACTCTAAATGAAACAAAAAATCGTCTATATGATAGAAATTTATTTCTAGGATTCTATCGATTGGGTTGGGAAATTGGGAATTGATGGCGATTTAGGGGTTTAGATAAGAATTTGGGGAAGAAGATAGGGAATCGGCCTAGGCCTTTAGAGGGTTTAAGATCAAGAATTGAGAGGATTGAGAGATTAGGCTTTAGGAGAGTTTTCTTAATATTATTCTTATTGATTGAATAGATGAATAATGACGTACATATATATAGAAAAAGAACCAGAAAACCCTAACAATTATCCTAATACGACTAAAAGACTAATTACCCTAATATAATAATAATTATTATTATAGAAACCGAACGAAAGTTGGTTTCAATCACGCAATACTCTAAATTCATACAATTACATAAAAATAGTTTCACGTACACCGATTACAACGTCAAACAAATAAGTTCAGTACGTACAAGTCAAGACTTCCATTCATCAAATATTACAAATTATAACTCAGAAGTACCTTGGAATTGATTTGTGAAACAAAAAAGTGAACTTCAATTGGTACTTCTTCATTTTGAGGTTTGTTTAAACAAAAGACAAGAGATTCCTCTGCTGTAGAGCTGCAAAAGAAATGAGCAAATTTAAACAAAAGACAATCGTTTATTACTATAAATAAACAAAAAAGTGCATTGTATAACTCGGTTGAGAAGATAAGGAACTCTCCTTATTATTGAATGGTCACTAGTTTGAATTCATATATACCCCTACTCGGGGAATTTTTTACCAAGCCCAAGGGGGGGTGCAAGCACCCTCCTCCTCTCCAAGTAGCTCCGCCACTAATGTGGACACGATTTTCTGTAACTTCTATGATACTAGAGGTTGTGCATTGGAACATTTTTATCTTCTTAACGAAAGTATTGTCCTACTTATATATTGATGTGTGTAGAGTATAGTTGTCCTGGAAGGAGATACGCTGCAGACACGTGTTAGAGCGCGGTCAAGAATGGAAGTTTCATGACACAAGGATAGGTTGGGTGACTGTATTGTACACGAGATGCGTAGTTTTGTATTATAATTGTACAAGTATCAATAATATGTCGCTTTAATGAGTTTAATTTGATAATTCTATAACAAGAAAGAGAATATCGTAGAGTGGGAGAAAAATACTAACTGACATAGAAGCACTCCACATTACGTTAGTTGACACGATCTGTATCTTCCATGGTTATCTTATTAAATTGGAATCACGTACTTCATATCTCTTCACACTTTTGAGTGATACAAAATGATTTCTACTTCTTCTATATCTTTTTGTAAGAATCCTTTCGAATTCACCCTTGACCCTTGCAATGTATTATTTTGAAAAAAAAAAAACCTTTCACCCTTGTAAAAACCAATGACATGTATCTATATATGCTACGCAAAACTGATTTTCGTGTTCTTCTAAACGAAACAAACAATAAAAAATGCATTTTACCTACAAAATTTAACTATCTGATCATTACTTTCACCTCGACCCACATACCAACGAAGAAGACGAAATCGATAAACAAACAAACAAACACGAAAGAATGAATTCGATTGTTGGTATAAGCAAGGAAAGCAATTATGTCTTTATGTGTATGTTTGCATACGCAAACGCCCATAAATGGATGGATGGATTTTGGCAAACGGGGTTCTTCCCAAAGGTGCACTCATCTCATCGTCTAAGTAATGTCCAAAATATGGGTAGGCAATTCGGCATTATGGTTTGTCAGCCAGCTTGGCTAGCATTTTCATTCAACTAGAATTGACAGACAACAAACCCTAGCTAGCAATTCAGCCTAACCTTCTATTTTGAGGTGATAATGTCAACACGTTTTTGTCAAAACTACTGCGTATGAGGATAATAGTCGCCATATATTTCTGACAAATGAGAACTCTAGTGAGGATTTTAAGGATAATGACACACGAAAGGCTACAACTTTAAGGAAGGAAGAATGTTATGTAGGTTGAGAGGGGATTTCGTAGTTGGATGGGTTGATGAGTGTGAAGAGAGGGATATATATAGCCATAGAGAAGGTCGAATGTTCAAGTTCGGTTTCATTCCAAAGGATGTCAAATCACAAAAACAATATTAAAAAACACATTTTTTATACATCTAATCGTTCAACTGTTGGACGAGTAGAATCAACAAACCAGATAAAAATACCCAGTTTCTTTCATTTGTCTGGACAGTTTGAGATGAATCAGACGGGTTTTAACGATTTGACATAAAACTAGATGAACTGCTCCGGTCCGAGTGGTCCACTGGTTCGCTATTTACCCACAAAACAATTAAGAAACAAATTAGTGTAGCGTAAACTAAAACCATCCACTCTCAATTACTATTTTTATTTATGCTTCCTTTTATTTGTTTTCGAGCGTCCTAGTCGTCTTTATGTAGTCCACTGCGGATTACCAACGTGATTACTGACTTGAATTTAATAAAAAAAATTATGATTTATTTTGTGATATTGTTTGAATGATTTGCTAGAACTTTTAATTATAGATGATATGCTTTTGAAATTGTTTACGGTTTGTGATAAATTCAGCCATAAATTGGTGTATTATATATGTCTTTATGTTATAGCGTATATAAAAGGTGTAACATGTAGTCGAGTGAGTTCCGTGTGAATATTTAAAATACCAAAGCTGAATTGAACCCACTATTCTCTTCAGTTTGTCAGATTGTGAAAAATTTACTCATTGATTGGATTTTTCCCGATAAAATCTATCTGGTTCCGATTGAATACCCAATGAGAATGGATTATTATGTCATGCAGGTTCAGGATTTTGGTTATTTTTAAATTTCACAGGGAATTGTCTTTGATTCTTGTATTCATTGCTACTTGTTTGACCCCTTTATCGGATCTAATCAGGTGACCTAGTCAAATGGCATAATCACACAACTAAAGATATAGCCGTACTTGCATATGAAAAATGCAGTCCAAAATGCACCGAGTCGGATCGCTGGGCTTGGTAGACAGTTCCCCAACGAGGCCTGGGGTTGGGCCGACGTTTTGAAAAGCCCTGACTCGTGTTAGGCCTGTTCAAGCCCGATCATATAGGTCTAGTTTCTTTCCAAGGAGTATGGACTATGGATATGACATGAGTGGGTTATTCTTTTGATTTGATTTTTACGTTCTAATCTACAAAACACTATAAGCCAATGTCAATATATCACTTTTGCCACGTCAGCCCCTTCTCAATATACCGCACACTGCGGAAGGACCTCCTGGTAATTCTAATTCCTTCTCTCTCCGGCCGTCTATCTCGCACAAAACTTCTCACATGTACAATCTCCGCCGCCTGTCAACCAAAACCTCCTTACTTACTGCAGCTCTCTCGATGGCATAAATATAATCCCCTTTTTTTACAACAATAAAAATATAATTCTTGCTGCACATTTAATATGCTTCTCGAATCCCCTGGCGCCGCCCCCGGAAGTCCCTTTCTAACCGCACCGCCGAGCAAACTCACCGGAGAGAAGCCGTACACCCATCGGCGACTATTATTATACCAAGAGTGTCAACGAATCTGGGGTATTTATCTCTTTGTAATATTTCGATAACGTTATCTCTTTGTTATCTTAGGTTCTAAATTAATTTTTATGGATCTGATTTTAGGTTTTCTTACTTACAGATCTGCTGCTAGGTGCAACGAACCCATCTCAGTTGCAGATTCGTTTTCGTTAGAGTTGTGGTAATTGTGGAATTTTGTCTATCTTTGTCTCGATCTTCTCTGGATTTTTGTTTTCATCTCTCTGAACCTCTTTCAACAATGGTCCTATATATATGGTCACGTTTCGTTCTCCTGTTTATTTTTTTCCTTTCGATTTCTGAGTTGGTATCTTTTTTCTAAAGTTGTTTGCCGTAGGTGCTGATATGAATTGGAGAGGTTCAGCGTCGGGTTCAAAGGAGAAGCACATCTCCACGTCCCAAGGTGCTTGGTTACAGGGATTGTTCTATGATTGGTTTGCTTTGTCTCTGCTTTGATGGTTTCGTTCTGTCTTTCTCCTCAGTAGAATTTCTTTGATTTCTTTCATAAGAAATTAAGGCGGTGAGTTTGATTGCCAAGATTCCGGCGACCAAGGGTATGTGCAGATCCAAACATCCCATGATGCGTTCTTTGTTTTGGGAGGTGAACAGAAGGGTAAAGATCCAACTCTTTCATTCGTTTCTCCCTCTATGTAATTGTGATTTCGTGGTTTTTTTGCAGGGTTAAAACTAAATTGTATTATATTGTAATTTTGCTTCCCTTTGTGATTGTGTAAGGGTTGTGGTAATGCCGCTGAAGTGTAGCCAAAATTCTCCATCCAAATTGTAATTTATTTTACTTCGTTCAAGTCGACATAATTGTTACAAGATTTTGATGACTTCACAGTAATTTATTTTGTATGTGCCTCCCAAAATTATTCAATCACTCTATTCTTATACGAAGTTTGGCAATGTCTCAACTGTTAAAAGCTAAACTTCAAATTCAAACGAGATGAAAGAAGATGTAAGTAGGTTTAATATTACGTTTAAACATATTAGATGATACTTTTTAAAGTATAAGAGTTTTTTATTGCTGGGTCATTGAACTCGAGCATTAGATTTGTTTGCATTCTGTTTATATATTCTTACTATCGATATGTACAAATCGTGTAAACGTTTACACTAATTTTAATTTGTGTTATACTAATAATCATTTTTAATATTAATCTCGCATAATTTGAATGTTTGGCTTTGATATTTTGAATGATTTCAGGAGATTGTAATAGTGAAGTAACTTGGTCGATTTTGAATTTAATGATTAGTACAAGATTAGCCGAGTCTGGATATAGTGAGGCCACACATCGGTCCAATGCTCGGGGTAATATTTGTTCCTTTGACTTTGAGATTGAGAAACCGTAAATGTTTGCTTTCTCTTCTTTTAACGATTTCACGTATTAAGCACTGAAAGGAAAAAAAATAGTCCCCCCCTAATATTTTAGACTTTAAATATAAATACTATAGAAGTATATTGTTGAAGCTTATGGCATCAAAATATTTTGGTCCATGGACCAAAAAAATCCTATAATCTTTTTATTTTTTTAAATAGACTAATCGAAGAAGTCATCTTTTTATGTAGGTTAGAATTCAATAATTGGAAGGAATTATCAAGAGAAAAGATATGTAACTTGATTTAGATATACAATAATCTGAGATGTAAGAATGTCGATAGTATATAATTAATTACTCGGAATAATCGATAATAGTTCTTTTACTCAAGACTCACATTGATAAATGTCAAAATTGAAATTATAAAATCATCACAAAAATAAATACTATAGATTACATGATGTTCGGACAAACCCGGCCAATGGGCCGGGCCCAAAGCTAGTTCTTCCAATAAAAGGGAGTATATACATTTATTAGTCCAATTTTGTAAACACTTAAACTTATGAGTCAAATTTTCAAAATACAAAAGTATTGGTCAAATCTTCTGTAACGCATTAGAATATTAGTCATTTGTGTGTTGTTGTTAATAATTTTGTAATTGTGCTCCACCTATTTGTCCATGCAGATTTTATTAAACAATTGTAGTAAACACAATTGACTAGTCAAACTTTTCATTTAAAAAAAAATATCAGTTGAACCTTTTAAAATTAAAAATAGAAAAACTTTTCATAGCGTTACAAAGTTTTAGCCATATTTTGTTACCGTTAACAATATTATTAACGAAACTCCACATCAGCCTCCACACTATCTCATTAAAAATATATTAAATCTAATTATTTTATTATTTAATATAAAAAATACAATACTTATTCTCCACACCTATACACGCCGGGGATCATACCCTCTGTCTTTGTTTCATCTCCTCCTTCGCACAACCTCTTCTCCTCCTTCCTCTTCCCCCATAATCGCATATCTAATTTCTGCACTCATAAAAGAATTTACGACTCTTTCGTACCGGTCTGGATTGTGTGAGCATCATAGTGTTTCTACTTGCTCACTATATCACGCTTTCATGATTCTATTTTTGCAAATCCTGCAGGCAACAAAATGATTTTTTTTATCAGACATTCTCATTCATTCGGAATAATGAAGTAGCCTAGAAGTGTGTATGATTATCCGGCAGCTTTATCCGTTTCCTTTTGTTTCACCACATGCCCACTTCTTCTTCTTCTTCCACTCACGAGCAATCATTTGCATTCGCTTTACACTAAAGAAATCTCTTCTTTTTTCCCATGTTTGTTTAACCAAAGTTACGTTTGGTTTGAAATTTAAGCAGATACACTTCCTTTTCCTTGTTCTTCTCCCACTCGAACAAAAAGCCAAGAAGAAGAAGATGACACAACCATTAGTTGATGATACTTTTCTTGGAGGTGCAAATTTGAGGCCCGGCCCATGTGAAGGAAGGATTGGGAGCCCTCCCAACTTGGCTTCATCCCTTTGTCCCTAATCCAGCTCTCTGGCTCTCACTGACAAAATCGTCTGAGAGAGTAGAGAGGGCATTTCTAGAAACTTGTGTGAGAAGAGAAAAGAGGAGAGAATTCTCTCTTTTTCCACAACGGTAAAAAAAAAAAAAAAGAAAGATCCGCAGCCTGTATCGTGTCGGCACTGTAATATTTGTGAAGAAAGACTAGCTAGCTAGATAGCTAGCTCGTACGTTGCATGTTATCTACTATAATGACTTGTCATTATCAGTTTGTAAGACGTGCGCGGTTCCAAAGAGAATGTGCAAAATGCCCTGAGTGCTATCTTGGATGGAAGAGATCGTAGTTTATTTACAAGATTACCACTGTTTTTATCCAACGATCGTGGACGGAAGAGATCATAGTTGGAAGAGGTTCAATAATGGATCTTATATCATTTACTAACATGTTCATTTGAAAACCAACTTATATATAGAGTTGAAGTTTGTGCAAGTATAAATTCAATGTGCTTGACAAATGATATTGCCAAGATTCGAGTACAAGACTTCTCAGGGGTCGTTTGGAAGTTGCGATTGTTAAATAGATGTATTGTTGAGAATGCATGTATAATATTATACATGTATTGTCGAATTTGATGCATTGTAGAATACCACGTTTGGTATGTGTGATTGTGTATGTCGCATTAGCTAAAAGCTGAGACAAAACAATCTCAACTCAACTATCTCAACAATCACAACTAAAAGTTGAGATATAACAATCACTCAAAATGAGTGATAGTTTCTGTCAAATCATAGAAACAATCCATGTATTGTTTCTGCTAAATAAACAAAAAAACAATGCATTATAAACAATACATGCATAATGACAATCTCAACAAAACAATCGCAACTTCCAAACGACCCCTCAGTCTAACAATTAATTTGAGTTAGGGAGCCCTGATTTTCATTCTCAACTAGCTGTTATGTTTGAGTTACCATTTTCCTCTCGAGAATCCACCTTGTCAGACTCTTGCTCGGTCCCTGATTGAGATAAAGTGTCTTTACACATTAGTTGTGATTTGTTGAAAATTTTATTTTCCATATTGACTAAGTACACATTTGTTTTTGGGTGGATCATGTCAACCATTGTCATTTGTACTAGCTCGATACAAAAAATAAATATGCCAATAAATAATTATAAAAAAATCATACTCCAAATATCTGTAAGGTCAATTATCTCAATTAGACACTGCCCTAATTTTTATTCTCAGTTAGATATTATACCTAATTTACCAATTTTATTCTCGATCTAGGATAGATCGATATTGCGGGACCCACCTGATTACACTCTCACTCTGCCCTTGCGACCATGTCCTCACAATTTTTGATTGCGTTGTGAGTTCAATAGCAAAATCCCAAAATATATGCCTATGTACATACATGTTTGTTATCTATCTATCTATCTTATCAACTAACTGGTCCAATTACTCAAATTATTAGAAGAGATTCATATATGGATTTTAACTACTTCGTTCCACACCATCTATACTTGAAATACTCATATTTAGTTGCTCATTGTCTGCCTTAACATTTGAAACTGCCTAGAACGTTAGAAACATAACCTAGGCTACAACTAACGACCCACATAATCCATGCAAAAACTATCTTTCTTCTCTTCCACTTCTTTTCCAAGACGGAATCCGTCTTGTGGCACAAACAACTAATCTAACAACAGCTCTTCCAAATCAAAGAATACGCAAAACCCAAACTTTTGGGAATCAATCAACACAAAGTAATGAACAGAGAAGAAGCAAGCAAAACCTTGCTACTGGAAAATGATGTCGTCATTAGAAATGGACGAATCATGCCTCCTTTCTCCTCTTCTTCCCCTCCCCAGATGCAGAGCATTCTCAAACTTGGACTTCAAAAACAGAGCACTCATACTCGTACATATCGCATTCGCCGTCGTTCCGCTGGCATTTCCCGGCAGCAACCCATGATGATTCGGGTTCCCATCTCTCCCTCTTCTTCTCTCAGCTCCTCTCTGCCGCTCTTCCTCCTCCGCACCACTATCGAACGCCATGGGTGTATCTTCATCCACCGAAACCACAAGCAATCTCCTCCGCAGCTTCAGCCTCCCGATACTCGCCGCCGATATCCCTCTACACCGCTTCACCTTCAGCTTCACCAGGTTAGGACACCCGGCCCCGACGGCGGCGATGCCCAGTTCAGAAACAGGGCAGTTCTTGATGCAGAGCTTCTTCAGGGGCAGGAATTTCGCGGCGACGAAAGCCAGCTCCGCGTCCCCCAGCGTGTCGGTATTGCAGAGCGCCATTCGTTCAAGAGATCGGCAGTTGGAAGCCAGGGCGTTGAGGGTCTGGACCGAAATTGGGACTCCCATGAGTACGATTTCCTGTAGATGGGAGGATTTTTGGGCTATTGAGAGGACGCCGTCGTCTCCGATGGTTCGAATTCCGAATCGGGTCCAGGCGTCGATGTGGAGCTTCCGGAGCTTCTTGCATTTCCCGGCGATGGCGGACAGGCCGTCGTCGGTACAATCGGTGGTGCGGCTGAGATACAGAGCTTGGAGGTCGGGGCAGGAAGTGGAGATCGAGGTGAGCCCCTGGTCGCCCAATTGGACGCTCTCGAATTGGATCTCCATCACGGATGTAATTCCCCCTCCTCCTCCGAAGCTCTCTTCCAACACTCCGTCCCAATTGCCGGAGCTCCGGCAGACGATGAGCGTCTTCAGCGATTTAGAACAAGATGAAAGCAAAGGGGTAAAAACCCCAGCGTTGTGGAGATCCTTGACGCAGAGCCTCACCAGCAACTTACCGGCGCCGACGCTGCTGTCGGGGTATTCGAGGTGGGAGGTGCGAGTGTCGAGCTTTCGGAGGCGCTTGAGAGTGAGGTCTTTTATCGAACAGTTGGTGAGCATGGAATTGATCCCCTTCGCGCCGAACCCGCATGAGGCGAAAGACACCTTGGAGAGTTTTGAAGGGCGATTGGCGGAGAAAGCGACGAGGCCGTCGTCGGAGATGTGGGTACAGCCCTTGAGCTTGATTTTCTGGAGGGAATTGAGGAAGCGGGAGATTTGGGCGAAGGAATCGTTGTCGATGCTGGGGGATTTGCGGGAGCATTTGAGGGAGAGGACGGTGAGGGAAGTGAATCGGGAGAGGAGGGAAGGGAGGGAAGGCGAGATTTCGGCGGGGGAGAGGAGGACGAGGCGGTGGCGGGAGGCGGAGTCGACGGAGCTCCAGCGCTTGGAGACGAGGGAGCAGGAGTTGCGGTCGTGGCAGCCGAGCTTGGAGAAGACGGTGGCGAGGCATTCGTCGGGGAGGGAGAGGGTGTGGTCGGCGGCGGCGGCGGTGGCGGGCGGTAGGTGGCTGGGTTTTCGCTTTTTGCGGGGGGCGGTGGCGGGAGGAGGTGAGGGGTGGAGTTGGCATTTGGTGGAGGCGGCGGAGGTGGTGGTGGTGGCGGCGGTAGAGGAAGGGGCGACGGAGCAGGAAGAAGTGGATTGGCCCATCAAGGAAGAGATGGAGATGAAGCAAAGAATCAGAGGTAAAAGGAAGTTGGAGGGCAGAGAGTTCAGTATTAATAGTGGTAACTGAGTGGTTGGAAATGAAATGGGAACCAAACAAGACAAAAACACAATGTTTTTAGAACGAAGGTTAATTATTATAGAAATATTGGTTAATTGTTAATAAAATTATTAATGTGCTATAAGCCTATAACATAAAGAGATATATAGTAAACTGATTTATAAGTGAAATTATCATTAATCATAAGCAAATTCAAATTCATATCATCGATGTTTAAGTTAGTAATCAGGGTGACAATCAGTAGTGGACAACATAAAACTGACAAGGAAGCTGGAAAATGAAGAAAAGAAAGCATAAATAAAATTAGTGATTGAGGTTGGATGATCTTAGTTTACGTTAAAGTTTTTTTTATATAGTTTTTTGGTTAAAATTGTGAACCAGTTAAATCGAGGTGGTCCATATGGTTTCAAGTCAAACCACAAAAAATCATTGGGTCCATTGCTAACTGTCCAAACAAATGAACCGAATAGCTACTGTAACTGGTTCTACTGGCCTAGCCGTTGATCCGGTTCGATTCTTATAACAATGCAAAAGGATTGTGAAAATTTCCGACATTAAAATATTGTTACAACATTTGTAAAAAACCTGAAAGTATTATTTTGAGCTGGTTAACTTTATACAATTTTAAACGCACTCAAATACATTAAAATGCGAGTGAAAAACTTTATATATAGTTGTCTATGCTATTGCGTATTTTGTTCTTCCGAATACACTCAACCAAGGGACAACAAACCCCGAATGTTTCATTCGCAACTAAAATCAAGCTTGGCTTTACGGCAAACCTCAATCTGTATTGAAAAGACCCGCAATATCATTTTCTGTGTGCGTGTGAAAACGCAGGCACAAAATGAGTGTCCTAACTCATTATATTAATCATGCAAGACTTTGAAATCCTGTCTGTTAACATCATGAAATAACCGGTTCAAAAGAACATGCATTAGAATATCAAATAGCATATGTAGGAATTCGAATTCGAAATTTTCAAAATCGAAACCTGATCGTTCTATCGATCTTTAACCTACTGCTCCATCAATTATATTTAAAGTAATGTTTAGTTGTAGATCAAATTTGAATTTGATAGGACATCCAAAAGTAAAGGTAAAAACTCCCTCATATTATACACCTTCAATTTTGGAAAGTTGCAATTTGGATAAAGAGTGAAGAAAGGAATAGTATCGAGTGGGTAATGGAGTTTTGTTTGAAGCACTGGATCAAGGAGGCGTCCTATAGCTGGAAAGAATGTCCCTTTTATTAATTTTCTCACCAAAAAAAAAAACACGAATTCGCGTTTCAAAAGAAAAGGTAAACGAAAACAGAGTAAGAGGACAAAATTCAGGGGCTGTGGCCTGTGTGGGGAAGGCAAAGGAGACAAAACGAAATGAAAGCTGGAAGAAGGTGCAGAGATCTTTTGTTTTGAGAGCTGAAACAGCGTGGATGAAGATGATGATGATGATGGCGACGCCGACGACGGCGATGGATGGAGCGATGAGTGCGACTGAACCAAACAAAGAAAGAATTGGAACGGAGCAAATGCTGCCCTCGGCCTGCCGACGAACGACGTCGACCTGACTCATTCCTTTTTGTCAACAATATATTGTCATCCAGCAGGTTTGAGACGTTAAAACGATTTCGAAGGGGAAAAAATGTCTAATACTCAGAGGTTGGTAATTTTCAACTAAAAGGGATCTCATGTGGGTTGGGGGTGATTCGTCGAAAGTCATGGTAAGCGTTGTGTCGTCACTCTATGATGTTATTGACGATTCGTTCTTGGTGGAGCTTTTGGCTATTAGGGATGCGGTTCGATGGTGCTTGGCTGGGGAATGTTCAATAAGCTAGTGCTGATGCTGCGGGAGAAGATTTCGGAGGGGTCATTGGGGGACTCTGCTCGACAGTACAATTCTAGAGAAAATACATATGTTACGTTGCGTCAATGCTTCCATCATTTTAATGTTAGATTTGTTGATCGACAAACTAGTAGGGCGGGCAGCTTATTTGGTGGACAAAAAAAGTTAGTTTTTTTGTAAACTAGTTTGGTAGGGTTCGATGTGCGGTTATGGTATCTTTCAGCCATGTGATTCTTTTGTGCCTACTCTTGTGTCTGTAATACAAGTGAGCTTTTAGGAGTGGAAACAAAATCTTGTTTATTGGTACAACGAAGCGAGCAGTAAACAATACAAAAAAAAGCAATTGAACATACATCGTCTACGTGATCTATTGACAAGATGTGTATGTAAACTAATACCCGGACCCAAAAAAACCAACAAAACTATTTTGAAAAAAAGTACATATTACAAAACAGGTTAACGTGACTTCTAATCATAAGTCAAATAAACAGGTTTAAATCATATCAACTTTTATAAGTACTTAATTTCAAACCGAAATCAAAAGATAGTTAAGGTCAAGGTCGTGGGTCCATCAATCACTCCTCTTTGTTTCCAACATTCCCCATTTCCCCAACTTTCATGTTCATTCAGGGAGCTTTTTCACTTTAGCTACTATTAGTAGGAAGGGTTTGAACTTTGATGGGGAAAATTATCCTAATTCCTAGCTGAAGTTCAATCTATTATTTCAAAATTTAATGGGGAAAATAATGTGATAAAAAACACCATCAAGCGGTTCGAGTACTCCATGTTAATTTGTTAAAAACTATATATTTGATGTCCGCATTTGCGGAGCTAGGTTAGGGATTGTGAGATCCACGTACCCGATTGAAACCTAAACACATTAGAAATAGTGAAATTTTTGTTAGATTACCTTGAGCTTAGAAACAATAAGAGCGAAACAAGAACAGATTTACGTGGTTTCCAGTATTGCAGATCGCAATACCCATAGTCCACGGGGAAGACGGATCTCTTATTCAGCTTAATCAACACACTCGGTTACACATCAATATATATATGCCGAAAACCCTAGCAAGCAAACCCTAGCTCTCTCTACGTACAAGTTTGCATGGGCATGAACTCCAAAATCCGTCAGTAAACGAACCAACCAGGCGACCTCGGAAGCAACATCAGACATTGCGCGATACTCGGCTTCCGTTGAAGATTTCGCTACTCGATCCGGCTTTTTACACCTCCAGGAAATGAAAGAGTCTCCAAAACGAACACACCACCCAGAGGTAGACCGACGAGTGTCACTACACCCTGCAAAGTCTGAATCGGAGAACGCCTGCAAGGACAATGATCCAGTCGAGGGAAAAAACAACCCAACATCCTTCGTGCCCTGGAGGTACCGAAGGATCCGATGCACGGCCGAGAGATGATCAAGGTTAGGTTGCGTCATAAACTGACTAACAACCTGCACAGCATATGAGATATCAGGACGAGTCGCAACTAGGTAGATTAAACTGCCCACAATGCTCCTGTACATCGAGCCATCCGTCAATGGAGCACCAGAGTCACGACGAAGCTTCAAGTTCAGCTCCATTGGCGACCGAACAGGGGTACAGTCAGAGAATTGATGATCCTCTAACAAGTCGGTGATATACTTGCTCTGTGTCAAGAGAATTCCACGAGAACTGCGCACTACTTCAAGGCCGAGAAAGTAATCAAGAGTACCCAAATCCTTAAGATCAAAAGCAGCACTAAGACCATCCTTGAGCAACTGGATACCAGCCGCATCATCCCTTGTGACAACCATATCATCAACGTATAACAGAAGGGCAACAATACCAGTGGATGTCACACGAGTGAAGAGAGAAGGGTCATTCAGGCTTTGCTGAAATCCCAGCTGAAGAATGGTAGCCTGAAACTTGTCAAACCATGCCCGAGGGGCCTGCTTCAAACCATACAGAGACCGATGAAGAAGACAAACCTGCCCCGGAGCACCCAGAGTATAGCCTGGTGGCGGTTCCATATAAACCACCTCCTTGAGATCATCGTGCAAAAAAGCATTCTTCACGTCGAGTTGATAAAGAGGCCAATTCCGCACAGCCGCGACAGCCAGAAGTGTACGAACTGTAGTCATCTTTGCTACCGGAGCAAACATCTCGTCATAATCCACGCCCTGTTCTTGAGTGTAACCTTGAGCAACGACCCTGGCTTTAAATCGCTCAATGGTTCCATCAGGATGTACCTTGATATTGTACACCCATCGACTGCCGACAACCGGAACTGGTGGAGGAGGCCGGTCCACCATGGTCCACGTACGATTCGCATGAAGGGCATCCATCTCAACCTTCATAGCATTGTCCCAATTTGGATCGCCATGTGCCTGTTTATAACGTGTAGGAATTGCAATGGCAGCAACTCCATAAGCTTGATAGTCATTAAAGCGTACAGGAAGTTGACCCAAATTACGACGTGAGGAGCGCCGAAGAACAGGAGCAGGAGGCGGTGATGCCTCGTGGGAGCTCGACGGACCAGGTGGAGACTCGGGGCCAGAGGAGCTGGCGCTGGCAGGCGAACCACTCGGCGATGAAGTTCTGGACGAGCGGCTGGACGAGCTGGCCGAGGGGCTAGGCGAGCTGGCCGAGGGGCCAGGAGAGGTGGCCGAGTGATCTGGAGAGCTGGCCGAGGGGCCAGGCGAACTGGCCGAGGGAGACGCCGGTGGGGAGAGAAGCAGATCGAGGTCATCGGGCGGAGGGAACTCTTCATCAGCAGCAACATCATCTTCATCAAACGTAGGAAGGGTAGGTAGCTGGGAAAGGAAGGAAAGAGAGGATGGCTGGGATTTGGAATAGAAAGACATGGATTCAAAGAAGACAACGTTACAGCTTATACGAATTCTCCCTAGGACGGGGTCAAAACATAGGTAGCCTTTGTAGACATCACTATAGCCTAGGAACATGCAACGAGCAGCTTTGGATGACAGCTTATTTCGTTCACGCTTAGGAGTCAAAACAAAACAGGTGCACCCAAATACACGAAGACGACGATACTCGGGATGTTTCAAAAAAAAAGGGAAAAATAAGGGCTTTTGTTGTCAAGAACAGGTGTAACTTGATAGTTGATGAGACGGACCGCAGTAGCAACTGCTTCCGGCCAGAATTCAGGAGGAACATGAGAATCAAGCAGGAGAGCACGGGTAAGTTCAACAACATGCCTGTTCTTCCGTTCAACTAGGCCATTTTGCTGGGAAGTACCGGGACATGACTTCTGACATACAGTCCCGAGTGATCGATAGAGATCACGGAGGGGATGAGAGCTAAATTCCCCACCAGGATCAGACCGCACAATCTTAACTGGCCTATCAAACTGGGTGCAGATCATTTTTAAAAACTCGGTGGCAACTGAAAGCAAATCGGACTTGAGTCGGAGGAAATAAACCCAAGTAAAACGAGTTGCATGATCGACAAACAGTGCAAAATAGCGAAAACCAGAGCGTGAAACCGTGGGAGAAGGTCCCCAAAGGTCTGTATGGATAATATGAAACGGCTCAGTAATCAAGGTTTTACTAGGAGGGAACGAAATGCTCTTGAGTTTTGCTTCAACACAACTTGTGCACTCATGGGAAGAGGAAATGCCACTTTTATTAAAACCCAGCAATTGTTGTTTGAACATAAACATAAGACGGGCCGAATTGGGATGGCCTAAACGAGCATGCCATAGCTCCCAAGCTGTTTTTGATCGACTCAAAGAATTTGAAACACTAGACACCAAAGAACCATGACTACTGACAACCCTAACCGAAGGACTACTGACAGGAGGGCAACTAACTGGTGGCAAAGGCTCCGATCGACTCGTGTGCTCCTCAAGGTGAAAAACACGTCCCTGTTTACTCCCTCGCCCGATCTGCCTCCCCGTCTTCAGGTCCTGGATAACACAACCCGAAGGTCCAAATGAAACAGAGCAGCCTTGCTCGGTCAGTTGTCCAACAGAAACAAGATTAGGCACTAAATCAGGGACATGTAACGTATTTGGTAGAGTAAGCTTAGGAGATTTAATCTGACCAATGCCATGAACTTTCAAAAGTTGCCCATTAGCAACCCGTAGGATCATATCCGAAACTGGAGATTTATCACACAATTTGCTAGTATCGTTGGTCATGTGATTAAAACATCCGGAATCGAGAAGCCAGGGAGGAGTCATACCTGTAACCTGAAGGGCAGCAAAGGCGCTGCTGATCGCACCGGGCAGCGAGCGCTGAAGAGCGGCGTTGACTACCTGCTCGACCGCAGCAACATTCATCGCGGCAGTAGCATTCACCGCAGCGCCCGATGTCTTGGTGCCTGGACCATCCGAAGAAGATGCAACAGCATAAGCATGGCGGTCAGTGGATGTTCCCGCCGTTGTCGCCCGAGCAGCAGCGCGTTGAGCTGAACGGCAATCCAAAACGATATGCCCTGCGCGTTTACAGTAAACGCAAAAGTTTTTTCGGCGGCAATGTTTCTGATAGTGGCCCTTCTCGTGACAATGGTGACATTCAACATCGTTCGTGGCGACCCGACGTTGGAATTGGGGTCGTTGGACAGCAGCTACCAAAGCTTGCGAGGGATCCGCAGCAGCTGCGAATACCGTTTCGCCTTCACCCGGACGAACGTCCAATTGCTCCTGAGTACGAAGCCGGGTTTCCTCGCGCACCAAGAGGCCGAGAACACCCTCAAATTTCAGGTCGTCGCGATTCAGCAAAGTGGAGCGGACCGTTTCAAATTCTGGACGCAGCTTCATGAGGAATTGGCATAGGCGAGTGCGTTGGCGCTCTTCGAGAACCTCGGCAGAGGCTTCCTTGGAACGGAGCGAGGCGGTCAGCAGGTCCTGTTCAATCCAAAGCTCCTGGGCAGCACTAAAATATGTGGTGATATCCTGGCTTCCTTGCTCCAATCGATCGAGAGTCATCTCCACTTCAAATTGACGAGCCGTATTCACGGAGGAATAGGTGGACGCTAAGTGCGACCACATTCCATGTGCTGTAGTATGCATCCTGAGGCCTAGCGCAATCGTAGGCTCGACTGAACCAAGGATCCAAGACCGGATCCGAGCATCCTGTTGCCCCCAGCGGGCAACCTCCTGTTCCGTAGCCGGCGCCGTCGGCGGCTTGTTAGTTCCATTGAGAATTCCGAGCAATCCCTGTCCTTCGATGAAGACACGGAATTGAAATTCCCACAGTGCGTAGTTCTTGTGATTGAGACGTAGGGTCATCTTCTCACTATCCATCTTCGAAAGCTCTGATACCATGTTAGATTACCTTGAGCTTAGAAACAATAAGAGCGAAACAAGAACAGATTTACGTGGTTTCCAGTATTGCAGATCGCAATACCCATAGTCCACGGGGAAGACGGATCTCTTATTCAGCTTAATCAACACACTCGGTTACACATCAATATATATATATGCCGAAAACCCTAGCAAGCAAACCCTAGCTCTCTCTACGTACAAGTTTGCATGGGCATGGGCTTAGCACATATACATAAATGGGTAAATAAATGGGCCGAGACACCAATCAGAGACCCCCAAACCCAGCTCAGCTAACAATTTTAAGGTGGAGTCTATACATGTTCAACCACGGATCTCCATTTCATGGGAAATAACCCTTTAAAATCATGACTCGCATTGCATTCCATCATTTCTGCCTCTGGAGCCCACTAAAATCTATTTCTGACTACGCCAGTGATCATCGGCACACACGTTTAAAGAAATTTATTACATAATTAAATCCTCATCATTCTTTTACTCCTCAAAATTGGATGGCATATGCAGACTATATATAACATAACATTATGCCTTTCTTGTTTTGCAGGTCTCGTTCTATACGGTGTGTCCACAACCAAAAAGCCCATCATGTAGTTTCATTCTTCCTCTAAATCATCTTCATCTCTCTTCATAATCGACCTATAGATCTTTCTTGAGGTTTACACTTGTTGATTTGAAATTTGAAACTAGATTATTCGGCTGAAACCCTTTGCGTTAATTACTAAATGCCAGAGTTAGAGATAATTTTTTGAACCAATTGCTGTTGGACCTTATCAGCAGGTTCCAGCTTTGAGCATTTGCGTCCATTCACAACCCGGTGGCGGCCCCAGACGACGGACGCGACAAAAGTTTCCCACCCACTCTCCCTATTTTGATTCTTCAGATCGAACTCGATCGCCCTTCAATTCAGTTAAGTTAATAAAATTCTTGGGTCTCTGATATAACCATATATTACCAACTTTGGAGTTTTGAACACATGCATGATGTTAAAACAGTTGCAAAGTTACTAAAGTTAGAAGAAGTAGGGGGGGATTTTGGGTCTTGTGAATTTTGTGTGCATACAAGATATGTCATAATATGTACGGATTTTTACTTTAATAGGGCGATGAGGTTGAAAATTCAATTGTTGATCCCTTGTTGGAGACGTGGGGGTGGGATGGGATGCTAACCCCATACCCTGTTAGCACCTGCTAACCCCAAAAATGCTACACACGTATTATTAAAAACCACTACTACCAATATATTGCACTTCAATATTGACGAAACTACATAGTCTCAAGACAACTATGACCAGAAACACTACCATGACTACACATCAAACTACTACAGACCCTACATATTAACAACACAGGCGATCAATAAAAAAAAGACTACCAAAAGCTTCCATGCAAAAACACTACCACGACTATTAGGACGGTGCTAACACCCTATAGGATTAGCACCGTAGCTTGTCCCGAGACGTGGTTATTAACGAGATGTGATTAGTTGGTGCACACTTCCAATAATTGCTTTTGAATACACATTAAATTCTAGACAAATTAGTTATTAAATTGAATGGTACATTTTGAAAGTTTTTCATATGATTCAATTGTAAATATGTTCTAACAAAATTTGGGAGTTCAGTTCAATTAATTTATAAATATTTGAATATAACATTTTTCGAGCATAGGAATTCATTTGAAAATGAACTAAGCACAATTATTTATTTTGAATTTAAATAAACTTTTGGTTCGTTTGATTCCAAATGATATGTACGGAAATATGTTATCTAATAAAAAAATAAATTTTGGTAAAAGAAAAAAATTAAAGGACTAAAATGAAAGGATTAAAAATAATTGTGTGTGATTTCGTTCGAATATGTTACCTCATAAATAAGAATTTTTTATTTATTTTTTGTGTGGAAAATTTGAGGAAACAAATGTTGAAGACTTGTGGAAAACAAAAGGAAGTTTGCACTTGTTTCCGGAGTAGGATACAAACAAAAAACATAATGAAAACCAAACAAGTTCCCCCCAATTCCGTTGCCATATTTCTGCAAGGGAAACAAGAAGCAGGAAAACAAAAATGAAAGTGAATCTGCTATAACTCAGTGATATAATTTTAATATCACATTGTAAAGTATAACTAGTTCAATTGGTCTATAAAAAAAAAAAAAACTGAAATCCAGGTTAAACATGCATAAAATACGATATGTTAAATAAACTGCAAACCTTCAGGACCTCAAATTGCTTTCTTTTCGCTTCCAGTCTTCCACATCACGCCGAAGTACAATACCAACAAAACAATAGAAGCAAATACAATACAAAAATCCAGAAGAAAACTATGGCCACCGGCTACAAAACCCAATCCCTCCCCTAACCCCCACACTGGAAAAAATGGCATCGTACAATCATACATCATGTAAGAAATACAAGATTTATACACATCCCCTAAGGTACAAACTTGCTAACTAACGCGAAAACTTTCCTCACATCATGGAAACTAGATCAAATACTCGGATTCGGGAAACAATAATCATAATCACAGCAAAAGAATCGCCATACGTTGTCATTCTACGTTGTCGTTCGTCGCTGGTTAGGCAAGAAAGTCACTCATGCTTAACATAGGGCGCTGACCAACACTTCCTCCCTGGTTATTTGATGGCAACGACGAGGGTTCTTGTTGGGAGGCGGGTGTTGTTGTTGTTGCATCCTTGTCCTCTCCAACCACGTGTTCTTCCGGAACTGGGACAGGTTCTCCAGAAGGAACAGGCTCGGGGTTACTTCCAGAGGGGGTTACGTTATTCTCACCTGACGCAGATGGATCTGGATTACTAGCAGATGATGATGAGATAGTAGCAGCTTCTTGCCCATCTGCGGCAGGAGGTTCGCTGGTTTCTGATGGCGCCACTGCAGCTTGTTGTTCTGGTGTGGCTGCAGGTGCACCATCTGTAGGTGGTGCAGCTGTACTTGCAGGTGCAGCACCTGGTTCCGGTGTTGTGGCGGGAGGTGCCTCGATCTGTAAGGGTTGGCTCGGCGGTGTTTGTTGCTTCTGAGCACCCAGGGTTCCGGGGGCAGGTTTTTTCTGGGTAGTGATTAGGCCGGTTAGAGATGGCATTCCAGGCGGGAGGATTTCAATGGGTGGCTTCTTTCCAGCATCTGCGAGACTCGTGAACTTGGGTTCCTCAAGTGATGCAAGGAAGGCAGCTGCTGCATCGGTTTTTGTTGATGGAGTGTGCTCAACTTCCTTCTGAAGCACCTTGTTCCAAGCCTGAACCAAGTTCTTCAGTGTTGGTCGCCCGTGAGCCTGAAGGGGGTGACATTAGAACGAGAGTCAGATCGAAATGTTTCGACTTCCAGATTTCTGAAATACTGGTATGTGCTTGTTTCATCTAATATTTCTAGCTCCTAACTTTTATATTGGCACTCCTAGTGTCCGTATAGAAACAACACTTACGTGGGCATGAAGGACAGCTTCAGCAAGCATGCCAGTGTCCTGCCATGCTTTTTCCATGAGAGCATTGTCACCAAGAACTGCTCCCGCAAAAGCTGCTTCCCGCCCCAGGCCAATTGAAATCAAATTGTTTACCAAACTCTGCAGTGGGTAGAGACAGGCAAAAATCAGAAGCTATTTGTATGAATCAAACCAAATCGCCGTTGAATGCTAAACAATTACTTATGCATGCATTAATGCTGCACCTAACTTCAGCATGCTTATAACGAGACTAGCATTATCTGGCTATGATAATGTTCAAGTGTAGAAGAACTCAAATGAAAAAATATGCAAGTCAGGAACAGGCTTTGGCCATACACTTAGTCGAGTTAACTCTCCGTGATTTGCAAGTCGTAAGGCAAGTCCTCTTAATTCATGGCTCTGTAAGGAACCTTTCACTGCTCCTGCAGTGGATAACCTCTTGAGTGCTTCACGAGCAATGTCAGCTTGCCCAGTGGCATCTGCGGCATCGATGAGGTCCAAAAATTCCTTGGCAAATTTAACAACTCCCTCAACAGCTTCAACAACATCTTCCTTTTTAGCAGTCAAATTAAGGATGTCACTCAATTCCAGGCCAGTACCATCTTGCCCAATGTCCCTGCTGTTGCTCATAGTGAGAAGGCAATGAAGAGCCCTTTTCAAATCATTACTCTGCATGGCCAGATCAAACTCCAACCTGGAATATAATAATGGACATTTTCGTAAGTCAGAATATTTTCCATGCCGTAAAATCCAACAGAATGAGTTGAAGAAAATATGAGTTATTGGTTGACCGGGTGGATGGGGAATTAGTGATCAGACCTTTTAGATATTCCAGGTAAATGAAGTGCTTCGGTAGCATAACCCATTCCTAATAAAAACTGTGCCAAATCATCGTGATGCTCCCTACCAAGCCTACTTGCCCTGCATACAAAATATGGGATAGTAATGAAAACTGTTTAATTCATGGATCATATGCAGGCGAACACTAAATGAATTGTACAAGAGAAACAAATATGAAAAAACTCAATACCATTTCACTGCACTAACAGCATCTCCATAAGCAGCCAGACACCGGCAACGAATACCAGGATGAGTGAGAGATAAGGCATGTGCGCACATATACCTATCAACAATTTTATTACAGAGAACATAAGCATGCCACCAGCTATAATGAAGGAAGTACAGAACCATGTAAAAGAAAAGAGATAAATGAACGAAAAGAAGGTGCATCAAATTCCACTTTCATAAATTAACAATCAGAATCAGAAGCCAGAACAGTTTTCTTGTTTTCCTTTTGACGAATGAAGAAACCGGAAATGTTCAAATCACAGTTGCATTAGCCTTGAAGTACAGTTTGATTTTCCATTATTGGTTATACTAATCATAAAAAGCATTCTGAATAGGGCTCCTTTTGTTTCAAATTTTCAACCAGGAGAAGCAGTAGTTGGAGCTGTCAGTCCACTAACAACATAAAGCAAACATCAAAAACTATAATTAAAAAAGTGGGAAGTACGAAGTGTTTAAATTGGAGAGCACAGGCGGATTTTGATAAACTTCCAGTACAAACTCTTACACCTAAAACTGTAGCATGATATACCCATCTGGTTAGAAATGGCAAGAGGGTAAACCACAAGTTCAAGTAACAATAACTAACAACAATTAAAAAAAGAGACATTATCTTATTACCTATCAACAAGCCACAGAACTCCATCTCTTACACCAATGACAACAAGAGGTCCCACAGGTCTTTTCTGTTCTGTAGGAAAGCGTGTAACAGCCACAGACACCCCTCCTCCACCAACAGCTACCTCATTGTACTTTTTATCTTCCAACTCTTTTGGCATTGTGGGGTCATCACCATCAACCCTAGTCTGCTTAGGTAATGTTAAGAAAGGTGGCACTGAAGGAGCATGCTGGAATGAAGCTAGACGAACCACCTGGAAAGAAAGACGGGCATTTAGAGGATGGATCAGTTGATTTGTGTAACCAACTGCTGGACCAAGCAGCATCTTCCCACCAAAATCAATCCACAATTATGAATAGCAATTGTGAAGTTATTGCCACAATTGTTCCACCACACTGACACACAGGCTAGGACGACGAAACAGCACAATCGCCCACACCAAGGGGTGCTACACAAAAACTTCAGTTTTCTGTTCCAAAGCAACTTTTTTCTCCAAATAATAACCCAAAAAATTAAGTATTAGAAACATGTGGCCTAACTGCAAAATATTTGTTTCCCGTGTTTTATTTTTATAGGTAGTTCATGCCTTCTTTCCATTCAAGTTAAATTCAAGAGTTACATGACTGGAGGAGGAAACCTAGTTCAGCCATTGGCACGTATCAAGGCACAGGTCTTCTCCTTTCATCTTTTTACTCTACAACCAATCACAAGGTTCTCATCTATGTAGAAGACATGTGAGTGAGGCTTTTGTGATAACACCTTCCGAAGAAGAACTTGTCTCATTTGTTCTGTCTGACTACAGCAGAATCGTAAAATGTTTTCCAAGAAAGATAATAGCCTGACAATTTCCTTATAATTAGTATTCAAGCTTGTATCTGTAGCAGTCATTCTGCAGACCTAAAAGAAAAGGAGTACTGACACCTAGTCTAGCTACCTCCCTTCAGCTAATTTACCTATTTTCTTCGTTTTCCTTCCCAAGGTTGCCAAGAGAAAGATCACATAGACAGTAAATCTACACTGACCCTGTTGTGGCCAAATGCACCATAGGCATGAGTAGCAAAATAGAGATTGACTCGAGTCTACAACTCCATTCCTGTCAAATTTAGGATTTACATTACTATGCTCTTTGTTTTAGAAATAACTATTGCCTTGGCCTTATTTAGGAGGCTCGATATAGAAAGTATTACTATTCAATTAGTGTTATTCAAGAAGGATCAGTATTAGCTCTAGCACTTAGGATAGGGTTCTGTCCTATTTAAATTAGGTCTCAGCCAGATTAATAAAACAAGCAGAATTTTCAGTTTTTAAGGCAGAGAAGAGTTGCTCTTTTCTAGAATTTCTAACTCCTCAGAATAGGTTGCTCCAAGAAAGGGAGCAAAAGAGGAAATCTTCAGGATTTCCAGGTGAACAGGCCCATGACGAGATCAATTCTCAGCCAAATAACAGCATCCTGAATAATTCCCTTCTCAGGTTAATATATTCAGTAGACTTACGATTAGAAGTAAATTTTAACTTTCTTTTTCACCAATAAACGTTTTCATGCTGAACTCTTAAATTTATCACAACATAATCATGTTGAAGCTTAAAGTTAACAAAGTACAACGGCAAGAGAAGCCAACAAGTCTAAAGTTCTAAAAAGCTGAACCTATCTATGAATGAGAAGAAAGCAACAAGTCACCTGCAGCATTGGTGGTCGCAGTGCTGTTCTTTCTTGTGCTGAGGTCTGAGGACTTTCTACTGCTATCAGTGCTAGCTCCCCATGCTCAGCAACTGCCCTTGCCTGTGCTTCTCTCAGTTTCATCTCTTCTTTCATCTTTTTTGTTTCCAAATCAATTGCAGCAACTCCAGCATCCACAAAAACACATCTGAAGTACAGTCAAATTATTAGAACCTGTTTTACAGGTCTTTAGCTTAATAAAAAAGAACAATGAACTGGACTGCGCTTCCACCAAGAGAGCAGTCAATGTAAGCAGAACATATCTCACTCAATAGTAGTTGGTGTGGCCACAAAAAGCTGTCGCCGATGCCAAACACCACCAGTAGCATAGGGAATTGCTACATCTCCAAGATAACGATATTGAGGTCGCAAGGATGATATAACAATGTATTTTTGGTAAGCAAAAGCACAATACTCCACTGTTTGGTCCCATGCAGTCCATTCTGGCTGAGGAAGTAGACCACCCACGGGCTCAAAACTTTCCCAACTGCACAATAAATTCTTAATAGTTGGAAATCGTTCAAATTCACCATGAGATATCATTTTGCAGGCGCAAAGCAAAAACAAGTCATTGCAGGAGGACCTCAAAGATCTAGCATTGAGGTAAAGCACTAAAACTCTTTGCCAGTAAGGTAAATCTGATAGGAAAGGAACCTAAATTGACCGTTTGACTATTTTCAAATTAAAGTGACATGGCATATTCATATAGACCGTCACCTGTATAATTGGAAATTCTGAGGGGCTGCCTCAGCAGCAGAACGATGTGTTGCATCATCAATTGTTGTGAAGGAACTTCCAAACCCTGACAATGGCATCGGCTGAATGGCTGAAATAGCCATTGCAGCACCAGCACTGACCCTCCGTGATGTCCGATAAGCCACACCTAACAATGCACCTCCATGCAAACCAATAACCTGAAAGAGAAGATAATGAAAATAAGAGCCTCCTACTCCAAGCAAGGACAAAAGAGATATCTTCACATATAATTATGATAAGCCACATAGAGATGTATAGCATGATAAGCTCTGCTTAAATATGTCCCGCGCCCACCATTTTAGAACCACTGCACCAGGAAGAGTTAAAATTGAAAACCAAGCCTTAAGCCTTAATATAAAATGACAAATAAAACTTTATAATTTACATGTGAACAAAAGAAAGAGACCTATACTAAGCGAATCAGGAAAAGACATTTTTCGTCTCAAGAAGAACTTTGCACCCTCAAGACATGATGTCAGGGAATCCGTAAATTTAGACATTCCAAAAAATTTCTCAGTGTGCAGCATATGCTTTGCAATGCATCTGCAATAGCAGGAGAAACTTATACCCAAAGAAGCTTTAAGTCCTAACAGCATCACAGAGATAGCCAAAAAGAGTAAACTAGAAGTAGAGAATACAGTGTGTCACTTGAGTAAGGAGATCACATACTGGCTCAGAGCGGCCACCTATGGACCTCATTAATATATTTGATGTCCCATCATCCAGCAAAATCCGAACTTGGACAGTAGCAGCAGAGGCCGCATTAGCAGCAGCGGCGGCAGCCTGCGCAGCAGCTGCGGCTGCTTCCTTTGCCTTCCTTGATGAACCTCCTTTAGGAATTATAGGAATCCTAGGAGGCACTGCAGATTCCAATATAGCAAATCTATCACGGCATGTATCCCAAGCCAGAAGCCTTGCACTCCCTGAATCTACAATGGACCAGTCGCTGACTTTGTATATAGAGAAGTATGGAATATCTGGCCAGACAATCGCAAGATACCTGCAACAAACTCAACTTTTAATACATCCGAACGTATTCAAGGATATCAAACAAAAGTGAATGATAACTGGACAGGACCAAAAGCCATTGGACTTGATTACATATCAAAGGGGTCTAAGGATATTAAGGAAAAACACTGTGTGCCATGTTCTAGCAGCCTGCTGACTCCATAAAGTCTCTTTTAGATGAATCATTACAGATCAAGGAGAACAAATTATCAACCAATGCACGTCACAGTTTAATATACAAACAGAGCTGAGGCTGTGTGAAAAGTAACTCACTTTCCGGAACTGCTGACTGAAACAACTGAATGTGAATCATGCGGAACAGGGGTACTAATGTGCTTTTTAATCTGTTTGACATGTAACGGTTCAGCATCTCCCTTGAGCTTTCCAGTATCAGATATGGAGCCATTACTTCCAAGAGATGGATTCGCAGTGTTGGACAGTTGGAAGTTCAACAGTTTCAATTCCCTTTCAATTACATAGACAGCAGAATGTTCACGGTTTCCTAGTGGTGTTGGCAGGGGAGCCACTGCTGGAAGAGATTTAGGATCAAACTCACTGATAATAACACCAACATTGGTTCCAGTAGCAACAAGGTGAGGCTGTAGAGGATGTGCAACCATGCAGTACACCTGCCATAAACAACAATGTCAACCATGGGACACATTCATCAAGGTGAAGATATTAAGAGAAAAGGATACCGTATATATATACAAGCTAGTCCAACAACTGTATGCGCACAAAACGTAAGTACTTGGTCAACAATTCAGATCCATATCATCCATCAATAAGCTCCTGCAGATTTATTACTTGCTGCATATTGTCAATGCTAATCTATTATAAATATTGATTTCACGGTTTCAATTTGAATGCACATTGCAAGTAACGGAACATTGTCCTACAGGCGAAACTGAGTTGAAAACATAAAAGCTTAACTACCAATATCAGCATAGTATCTATCGCGCCCCTTGTTAAAGCAGCTGCTGATGTAAACAGCATTCAGAACCATAAGTCATTATTCCCTTCATTGATGATTTAAAGTACACACAACAATTCTAAGGTTCAGTATGAAATAAAGAGAAAGAGGACGGACAAAGCAACTACTCATTTTCCTTGCTTAACAACCAAACTGGTAAAATTTAACTTGGAAGCATTTAGTTGCCCTGAGTACTAAATTTTGGAGTCTTTATAATCTGATCCACATAGAAGCTTGAGAGACAGTTATGTACCCTGAGTTTCTTGCTTGGTGTTGTATACTGGGGTGGGATGAGGGAAGACAGCTCACACAATGGCCTAGTGAGGGCTGAATAAGTTGGATGTTCAATCGCCCTGTAAAAAGAAATGTGTGGAGTGTACATTGCTTAAGATAACCAACTTTATGCTGGTACGGGTACCAACATTGTTACATATTAGCAAGAGACAGATTAAGCATACCATATATGGGAATCCTTGACACAAGTTAAAATGTCAAGGTTCGGAGCTCGAGGATGGCACCAAGATGCAACACTGTGACAAGACATTTTTGGAACAGGTTTGATACGCCGCAACTCCTGCATGTGTGCAAAAGAAGACAAAAGAAAGGCAGTGAACAAGATGAAAGAAGACTATGCAACAAAAGCAAATTTGTGTCTACCCAGCACCTTGAAAGACATTGTGTCCCATATAGCTAATGTCTTATCTGCACCGATTGTAATAAGTTGTGGAGCACCTCCAATTACTCTAGAAAGCTCAATAGCTACAACCCCGCCGTCATGTGCCTTTGGCAAGATTAAACAAGAGTTAGAATACCAGGCTGACTTGTCCAAAGAACATAATTGAATTTTGCGCAAGAAGAATGTACATGAATTAAATACTTAGGCAGAACATGCATAGAACCAATTAAATAATAAAAAGGTACACGATCGTGAACTCATGAATAATTTCTGGGGTACCTTCACAAACATTATTGAATAATGAGAACAATACCCTTAAATCCAAGAAGCTCGTGCATTCTTGTTTGAATCACAAGCTACATATGAGCTTCCGGAACTAGAATGATAAGACTAGGAAGAGGAAGCTACCCACCTTTAAACTTAGCTTGGGCACAAGCTCCCTTGAATCATGAACATGGTCAGCGCTCCAAAGTACAAGTAGACCATCACTACCCCCCGAAACAAGTAGCGCCTATTCAAATTAATTATAATCATGGGTAAATCATTCCGAGTTACAGATCAATATGAGCTCAAATGAGAGCATACATGATGTGTTCTTTAGAAGTGCTAAGCATGATTTCAAATATATATCAAAATGAATGCAGCACTGGAATGAAAGAACTACCTCACCAGAGGAAGCCATGAAGGTCATCAAGCAAGCTATGGCGCCTTTATGACCTCCCGTGTATCTGCGTACAAGCTGCAGCAAAAAATTATAGATTACTGAAAGCAGTAGGTATGCAACACCAAAAACAATTATCTGTTCTATCCTTTCTAATTTCTGGGTTCAAGAAGCCACAACCTTCCACGAGATCATCGAAAGAACTCTAATAACACCATCTGATCCACCAAAAGCAACCAGGGGACCTTCACCAGCAGTGGATCTACAGAGGAACTCCATACTGTAGGGCGGAAAAAGACAACATTACCAAATCAGAGTACACTGTATGATAAATATGGCAGCACGGCCTGAAACATAGCCTAGCAGCTCCATCACCATTCACAACCAGGCAAAAAGTTCCCAAAAGTGAAAATCGGAAAGGGCATTCTTGCTGAAGGAGAACCATATATTTATCAAGTTGCATAATCTTCAAGCAACAGTATAACATATTTGTAGTCTCTTCATCAAGACATCAACAAAATCCTACAAATTATATGCTAATGGGAGCAAAAGAGCAGGCACTGAGAGCATAAGCATGGATAAATGAATTAAGAAAGACAGCGAAAGGACTTTCTGCACTACGAATTACCAGAGAAGTGATCGGTTGTCGAGCTCTTGCTTGGGCACATCACGGCCACGCATAGTCACCAAATCCAAAAAGATTGCTTTATTTTCACAACAGATGACGAGAAAATGCCTCCCCTTGGTTGAAGGAGCCGGAGAAGTGAATGTAGAGGTGACATTATTGACAGCCGCAGGAGCCTCCGCAGCTGCAGCTCGGTTTCTCCATAGTTGCCAAAACCGTACATCATCATCATAAAAATTCACCTGCTTAACACTTTTTTTTTTTTTTTCAAATAGAGAAGAAATAAGCATTCCATCAAACGTGAAATGGAGTAAGACGATGAGCAAAAGCCGTGTGACGGATGTTCAGGCATTGATCTATTTACCTGCCACCTCTCATGGCTTCAGTAGGTTTCCCTCTGGGCTCTGCCAAACCAAACACGCATTACTTCCTAACTTACGGAGTTGCAATTACGCACGCCTAAATTCAAAATTCACATTACCACAACAAGTCATAACTCACCGGATTCGCCCTCGGCGAGCTTCTCCAGCTTGGCGCCGACCAAACGCCTCTCGTCAACGCCACCGGCTTTGAGCTCGTAAATGATCTGAAGTGCGAAATCGCCGGAGAAATTGCTCGGGGTCAAAAGAAGGGCTAGGAAGATGCTGAAGTAAGGAAAACGATGCAGATTGAAATTGAGAACCGGTACCTGGCGGTGCTCCCAATTCCAGACCGAGACGCGATCGCTGGCATCGGCGGTCACAAGCCATGGATGCGTGGGATGCAATTGGATCTTCAAGATCTTGTCGTGGTTCGGCCGGAATGCTTTGAGCCGCAACATCTTGTTTCTCTTATTCTACTGCTGCTTTCGATCCGGAGGAAAGGGGTTTGTTGAGCTCCGATCTAGGAGAAGAGGGCGTAAAAATGATTCGGTTGTGGCCAGTAGGAAGCAGCGAGTAAGGCTTTGGGAAATGGAAGACGAGATTAGCGGCAGAGACTAGAGAGGGAGGGAATTCGAACCTCCAAATCCCGAATCTACAAACTTCGTAATCACTGGCAAAGCGTAAAAAATTCTCTGTTGGGAATCAGAACTCCGAACTTCCGGATCATTACAGGTATTTACATAAAAAAAAAAATTATGGATTATTTACCTTACGACTTACTTACGAAAAAGTTGTCACTTGTCAATCGGTTCAGATTGCTTAGCAAGTGGTAAATACCAAGTTTGTGACTGTGTTTACTAAAATGTGTCATTTTTAGTCATCGAAAAAATTAATATTAATTTTGATCATTTAAATTATTGAAACAGTCCACGTTTGGAATCCGCCACATCAGTTTCCCCAATCCAGCACTTGACCCACCCACCCCTCCCAACCCATAACCAGACCCTTCCCCAACACAAAATTACTATTTTCCAAGATGGAAGCCAATGAAGCTCTGCACCTCTATATCTTCCCCGACGCATCTCTCCTCTATATGTTCATTGTTTCCATCAAATCCAGATGAACAAGAACAAAAATCTATCAACCTCCCCAAAACCAAATCCCCAATGGTAGAGGAACCGATGAGGGTATGCGAGGAAGAAGAAAAGAATCGATTTGAAAATCGTCCCTTAACTGATCTATTTTGCATTTTTTGGATTTAAGTGGATTGGACATATGAGATGGCGGGTTTAGTGACGTGGCGGGTCGGGACGTTTCACCATTTTCGCCCCAACATGATGTTGACTAGGCCATTTCGTTTGCCACATCAGCACATAACGGACTCAATTAAAGGAGTTGGTCGGAGACTAACGGAGAGTGACCAACTGTGGATCGTTTCAGTAATTTGAGTGACCAAAATTGATATTGGTTTTTTCAGTGAGTAAACATGACACATTTTAGTAACCTAGTGACCAAACTTGGCATTATTTACCAGTTTAGCAAGTGAAATAGTTTTATCAGTGATATAATTGATTTGTGTAGATTCATATCAATTAAACAAAATATGCAAAAATGTGAAAAATCATTAATATAAAATAAATTTAATCTTATTTATAACATATTTGAATACAATTTACTTACAATTCATATTCATATTTAAAAAAATACGACATTCCAAATTAAATAATAAATACTCTTATTTAACTACATTTAATGACATACCTAAATGTTTATACTTAAACCAACAAATAACATAAAATTTTAACTTTTATAAACAATAAATTAAAGTTTTTGTTAATTAGATTCACTAAAATGGTGTCATTTTGCTTGTCGGTACAATCAAGGTTCAACCGGTACATGTCATATAATTGGTTGCAAATGATTAGTATGATCGATTTGATCTCAAAACAAAATGACATCATTTTGATGAATTTGATTAAGAAAAATAATAATTTTTATTTTCTTCTTTAATTTGAAAGTTAGATGTTTATGGCATTTGTTAGATTCAAGTATGAATGTTAGATGTTTATGTAATTTATTGAATTGTGTATAAACGTCTAGATATTGGCATTACATGTTTCCTTTAAATATGCTGATTTTTTATTTTGATTGAAATATTGTATTTTATTTAAATATGGATGTAGATTTTAGCGATATTGTCTTCAAATGTGTTATATATATCCCTAAATTCATTTATTGGTAATCATTTCCTACTTCCCTGCACCTTTCGCTTAAACCAACATAAACTGGTATAAATCGGTTGTACCACTGGTCGGACTATATTATTTGTCAAACCAGCACAATAATATAAACAGATTTGGTAACCTTCATTGAATTAGCTAATACGATCTTATGCAAATTCGAATAAAACTCGGGTAGACTTAACTCTTGTATATTAGTGATTTGCGACTCTACCATATAAACGTTATCCATACCTTAAATTGACTCCTCTTTCGGACATGATAATATACTATAACCCTTAAAGACCAAAATCTAGGTCTTAATTCTCTAAATCTTATACCCGAAAATCAATTTAATTAGAAACAATAATCGACGGTTATGATTTGTCCAAATATAGGCAAAAAAATGAATGCACCATCTTAGAGTTTATAGTTTATGATTAGATAATTAGGATCTAGGGTTCACTCCTTAATGGTTACGATATAGTGTTAGAGCCAAAAAAATCATGCTAATTCGAGGTCTAGATGGCATTTTCATACTCAAGGTTTGCGGTACCCCGGATTTCACCTGGGGTACTGTAGAAGTCACCTTATATGTAGTGTGTGTACACAATATGTATAGATTCTTAAGCAAGAGAAATAAATATTGGTTAAAAGGGCTAAATTGCAAGTTTGGTCACTTGAATTACTAGTAAAGTTCACGTTTGCCACTCAAATTAATTTATTACATCCGTAGTCACTTAAATTAGGTTAACAATTCAAATTTGGTCACTGACGACCGTTAATTTCCGTTAACTTTTGCAATGAACACCCCCCTACCAACGGATCAAATACCAAAGTACGTAGTTATTTTAAGAGGGGAGATTACTTACATAACCTTATATCGTATCACTATAGTAAAATCCCACATCTAAACCAACCAGGAAACCCAGGCCATACTCCACAACGTGCACAATTGATAATTAATTAATTCTCTTAGGCAAACTGTTTGGCCACGACTAAAAAAATGACGTTACCCCACGAGGCCGACCGCCATTATCTTACGCTACGAAGATTACACACACAAACGGCAGCAAACAACAGACAAATAAAAGAGTTGTAAAACTTTCGGAAACCCGAGCTGGTGGCTGGTGCCATGTCTTTAGTTTAATTTGATTCACAGTTTCCTCCGGCTTGTCTTGTATATATATACACTCCTTATCTACGGTTACGTTGAGACACTAGACAGCCATGAAGCAGCAGTTGGTGATTAAATTGACCGTGGGTCTCGTCGCCATAGTACTCGTCGCAATAGATGCACAATCCTCGGTTCCCGTCGCTAATGCTCGACAACACCAACGCCACAAGCTCCTCCCAACCGAGAGCAGCACCACCGCCAACAGCAGTTTTACAGACTCCGCCGCCGCGGCCACCGTATCATCATCGGCTAGCACCAGCCCAAATTCTTCCGCCTTCAGATCAGCCCACAAAGAGGAGGAGCAACCGTCGGACTATAACGGACCAACCAACCCCGAACAGCTCAAATGCGGCCCGTGGGCGAATCGATCTTCAAGAAAAATGCTTTTATGAAAGCTTTCCTTGCTGCAGCCAACTTGGGTACTGTGGATCTGATCGTTTGTATTGTGGCTCCGGATATTGTCGACCCGAGTACAGCATCCATTGTGATGCCTGACCTTAGCTGGCTCCATATATAGGGGCGAATGCGATGGAGGGAAGAGAAGAAAGTGGTAACTTTTATGACGGGCTTTATATATATGTCCGGAAGAGCAGATATTGTGGTCGCAAATAATGCTATACTATAGAAATTAACTTCACTTTGGGAATAAAATATGAGCACAACAACTTTGATATACGCTCAAGCGCGTTACTCTTGAAAGGATATATAGTAAAATACAGTATTGGAAAGTTACGTATAAAATATGAGCAGAATTTTGACATGCGCTCACGCGCGTTCCTCTTGAAAGGATATAGTAAAATACAGTACTGGAAAGTTACGTACAAAATATATATGAGCAGAACTTTGATATATGCTCACGCGCGTTCCTCTTGAAATGATATAGTATTTTAATGCGTTTTTAAGCTAATGTTGTGTTTAATAGTACGTTAATAGTCATAAATATATAAAATTAATTATTTTTAAAAATAAATAAATATATTAAAATAGTTAAGTTAATCATTTAATTGATTAAATACGGATCTAAAACGTGTTCTACGGGTTTTATACGTGTTTAGTACGGGAGCCGTCAAATGAACGGAAACAAATGAAACGGCTTGACAATAATATGGATACCGAAATTTTAAATGAATAAAGTACGTACAGATACATATACGTGTATTAAACGGAGTATTTACTAACTATGATAAGGATGCAAAAGAAATCGCTTATGATTGGTGTGATTTTCTTTAGCCATAGTCCTTTTTCTACAAGAGGTTTAACAAGTTAAAGATTGTACATATCAGACCAAAATCATTGATTATTTTTCTAAGACCTTTCAGGATAATTATTCATTATCTTTAAACAACTATTGAGTATTGACTATTGACCATCGTGATATACCAGTAAAACTGCACCAAATTAAACCATATCATTTTTTATAACCACAAAGCTCTTGAATATACTTTCCAAGAAAAGAAAAAACAAAGATCATCAATATCTAAGTTATTTATGCAATTATCTTTCACTAAATTATGAAAAAAATACATCAACAACTTTCAATCAGATTTTTAGTCGAGCGGGATGGGCGTTGACTTTTTTTTTTTTACTGAACACCTGGCATTTTATTAATTAGGACTCAAAAAATTACAATCCGCATCAAGATACGAGAGTAAACACACTGGTGGCCTATCCTCCCAAATCTCCTTTTCATCCCAACCACAAGCTAAGTGGGCCATCGTATGGGCTGCCACATTTCCTTCTCTCTTTATGAAATTCCAACTGATCTGCCCCAACTCGTGGGCCTTGGCCCGTAATTCTACTCCAAGCCCACCTTCCTCAGAAAGAGACTCCACCTCGCCTTGAAGCTTCCCGATCGCCTCTTGACAATCCGATTCAATCACCGCCCTCGTCCACCCCTTCATTTCCACCATTTCCAAAGCAAACTCAATCGCCTTCAATTCAGCAATTTCCGGCCGCCACTGGCGACGATCTCGACGAACAGCAGCCAACACACATATCCCGTTCCAGTCCCTTGCTACCACCCCCGACCCCGTTCCTTCTCCGGCGAAGACTGAGGCGTCGACGTTAACTTTGATACAGCCAGTCGGTGGCTTCCCCCATTTCACAGGTATGGGATCTTTCTTCTCTTCCTCTCTCTGCCTTGCTGTTGTAAATTCCTCATAATATGATAGAGCGTTGACTTGTTAACCAGGTATATGATGAACTTATTGGCTTGTCAGCCAAGCACGACGAGTAGCGATGGGAAACAGTTTGGTTCGTTTAAACGGGGACCGATTTCACCCAATTTTACTTGCAATAAAAAATTGGATTGGATTGAATTCGGTTTCACCCGCGACTGTATTGGATTCAATATAATCCAATCTGATCCCATTTTTAAACCAAAATCTAATTATGCCTGAGGCGAGAGGCCATCAAGTTGACACCAACTTTTACCAAGGCGGCGATAAGGATTCCGAGACGGTTGGAGTAACAGGCCAGCTAGCGATTATCAAGGTGGTTACACCTGATGACTATAAATAAGAGAAACGA